ACTCTACAAAATATACACAAATCCAAGACTCTACCATTCAATATATATATATATATATATATATATATAAAATTATAAAAATATGCATAAAATTAATATTTTTTAATTATAATATATATATGTTCTCTTTGGTATCATACTGAAGATTTTAAATCAATCGGTTAAAAATGCTTGGGATTATTAATATGAAAAAAACACAAAACTGAATGCAAAATTCTTGTATACTCGATATTGAATCTAATATTTTTTTGTAAAAAAGGATATATATGAAATTATAAAAATATGTATAAAAATTGTTTTTTTAAAATAATATACGAGTATACATGTTTTCTTTGGTATCATACTGAAGATTTTAAATCAATTGGTTATAAATGCTTTGAGATTATTTATATGAAAAAACTGAGAAAACTGAATGCAAAAGTACCAAAAAGAAAGAAAAGCAAACTAAAGGAAAAAGTAGGTGAACTACAAAATGGAGAAAATGAGATTTTCTCCAGAAAGTCAATCATTAGTGATATCACTTTTCCAAGTGAAAATAACATTTCATTATTTTGCCCTAAAATGTATATCACAAGGGGGCAAGGAAAACCATTGAGTATCCTCCCAATAAAAATAATTCTAATAAAAGATAGATAGCAGAACATACATCACAAAAGTTGAGATTGCTGTTCGAATAATAATAAAACAGCTCTTAAAAATGTTCTAATTAGAAGTCAAATTGCGAATAATTGCATTAACGTATCTCTTGTCTTCAATTTTAGCATAGTAAATATAAAAATAATAATAAGACACTAAAATTGCAAAACCATTTTATAATAAATATTAAAAAACATAAGAGAAAAACGGTGAAAATGACCTTGTTAAAAAACCACTTATTTTAGGTTAAACTATCTTCAAGTATTTCTATTTTCAAATATTAGTAAATATATTAAATTTGCCAGTTTGAGGACGAACAATAACTTAAATATCATTTAGGTATTTTTTAAATGAAATTTAGATATGTGTATCATACCAACGTCAACTTTTCAGTACACATTTTCATAAATTGGAAAACCCACCAATGGGTAGTTCTCTAAAAACATTAAAGCTTTGTAAAGTCTCAGAATAATTACTGAATGTCTTTTAATTATAAGACAGATTGTAATTTAAATATGAATAAAAAAAAACAAAGTGACTTAAATGTTTATTGAATTTTCAAGCCTAACTTATAGTCATCGATTTCAAATGGATTATTTTGTTTATATATTTAATTAAATGTTAACAATTAGAATTTTTACAGCTTATTTTGTCTGTGTTAATTATTTATTATTATATAGCAGAAGACCATAAACATTTTATTTGATTTGGTAAACAATTTTATGCTTTTTTGCTTTAGTATGTAATCAACTTTTAGAACCTTTAATGTCAAAGCGTTTTTAAATAATAAATAAGAAAATTACCATGTTATGACATTAATTTATTATTTCTGATGCCCAAAACTAGGATACATTTATTAATTATAAAGCCTTAAACACTTTGCTAAGAATTGATCCTATTACCATACATGTGTGTATGATATTGATACCTAGTTTCGAAAATGAACTGGTGTATGTTTAGTGACCCCATAACAATAAGAATTTCGCTTCGGTTTGTATAATCGATATTCCAATGATAGACATGAAACGAACAATTCTCAAACTATAGAATAATACTTTGGAAATATTAAGCCGATAGTTACGACTCTTCCGTTCATAATATCCATTTAATAGCATATATTAGCTTAGTCACAAGAGGAAAAGATGATTATATGTATATCTGGAATGTAAATATTTCATTATAATCAATATCTGTATTTGATATTTTTAATAAAAATATGTGAGATTTCGTTTTTTCCTAAAAGGCGAGTTATCAAAACCGATAATTTTATTTGAATTTTTTATGTTTCAGGCATTTTTGATCAGTTTAAATGAGAAAGTGTTTGAAGCTTTGCATTTGATATTTTTTGTACTACATAATTCAATTATTCGATTTGCAGATAGGTACTAAATCTTTAATAATTTCTTAAAATTATTTAAATTAAAACATTGGCAAAATGATCTACATTGACCATTGGGCATATCAAAACAAATTAATATTACATGTCACCAAATAAACAATTTTAATATGATGATTAAATATTTGGATATCTTTACCATTAATGCGATCTGATCATTTTGGAATACTTTAAAATAAATTGATGTATGTGTGTGTGCATTTGTATGTAATATTTATTGTACAAAAAATCGTCTGTTTTCGAGACAATGGATCAAGTGATTGGAATAATTTAAAAAATATCAATTGGTACTGACTATGTTGATTTGGTTAATTTTGGTTGATAACATAATTAAATTCTTGGATTCGTAGATACTTACTAAATTTTTAATAATTTCTTAAAATTATTGAAATTAAAACATTGGCATAATGATTTACATTGACATTCTAAAATATTAAAACTAGTTTGGTCAACAAATTTTAACATGCAAATGCCATTATCATCTAATAAACGACTTTAATAAAAGGATTAATGAAAGTTTGGTGTCTTTACATTCAAAGACCTCTGATCATTTTGGAATATCTTAAAGTAAACTGATGTATACGTGTGTATGCATTTGTATGTAATATTTAATTGATGTACAAAAAAGTTATGTACGTTTTCGAGGAAATGGATAAATTGATTCGAATAATTAAAAAAATATCGATTAGATGAGCATCTTTTAAAAGAGGCAGACTTAGCCTTGCTAAAGATCCCTATGAAAAGGGTCTGATTTTAGTTTTTTTGATATAAGCATATTTTAATTTTTTTATTAGGATCTATAACTTTTAAAAAAGGGATTCATGTATATTATATAAAATTAGTTTTAATTAGCATTAATAATCCCAATATATCGACTGTGTTTTAATATGATATAATATTAAAAATGCTAATATATCATTAACATAAGAAAAGAAGTATAAATATATACTATTTATAAAGTAACCAAGAAAGTGATGAAAAGTGACCTGTTTTGGTAATTTTCGATTCAATTTTTTGTGGTACTCCATGTCAAATACTAATCCTTTACCTCAATGTTTATCTTTAAAGGTTTATATTTTTAATATGTAAATCAATTAACTTTTTGATCTATAGTATTTTCATTATTATATAGTCTTCTCTATACAAAACTTTATTATCAAATTTGAAATCAGCTAGATTAGTTGTGCATTTAATGGAGTGGCATCTATTGTAATTTTTAAAAATTCAGCCAATTTATTTATGTGTGTGTGTGTGTATGACTGTGAATACAAACATAAGCACAATAGCAAATAGAATTTTGTGAATTCTGATTGCTATTAAATAAAGTATATAAAAAATGAATTTTATAATGTACTTTTATATTGATAAGAGTAACGGGACTTGATCAAAAGCTCCCGGGTTCGATACCGACTTCAAACAGCCTGATGTCAGGCAGCAGTGACAACGATTGTGAAAATAGTCCTTAAAAATAATAAAGTAACCATTGGGTTACCATCTAAGAATACGAAGTAAGAAGTTTCAGCTCAACAGCTTATGGGGCTTAATGATCAGATTGCTGTTAAATGTATATATATATATATATATATATATATATATATATATATCTGAATAGTCTTGAATTGAACCTCAGTCTTGAACCTCACAGACCATAAAAACCGTTTAGACTTAGAATCATATACTGGTGTCATTTGCCTACCGTACGTAAAAGATTTATATTTCTCGTGGAAAAAACTATTTCAACAGTGTGGCATTCTGTTGGTATGTAATTGTGATGCGACCCTTAGTTCAATTTTTACACAAATGAAATCTAAGTTCAATTTTGACCGCCTCAGGAATTTGGTATATCAAATTAATTGCTCTAATTGCGAACTCTTTTATATTGGAGAAACTAGCCAAAACCTGAGTAAACGCCTTAATCAACACAAAAATAATTCAAAAAATCCCAAGCAATTTAAAACAATGTTAACTGAGCATATTAAAAATTTAAATCATAATATCGATTTTTTTAACCCTAAAATTTTACATTTTGAAGAGAATACAATTAAAAGAAGATTCGCTGAGGGGTTGTTTTTACAATTACATAACGACAAAGTTATAAACAAACGCTTTGACAATACGGCCCTGAACGAAACGAACACGTGGTTTCTTAATAGCGTGTCAAAATTCCTTAAAAAATAACAAAATCCCATCGCCTTTTAAATTTTCCAAAAAATATCAACACATGCTAAAAACTACTTTGAGAAAGTTGTGACATTTCTATCCTAAACTCCGAAGAGTAAATACATAGTTTCGACAACTTGTCAAGTTATCATGATTATTAGTGTGTTTTACCATTTGTGATGTTTTTGTTAAAAAATACATATCTTATCAATGTGCACATACTCATACCATGGATTAATAATGGTTTCATATGCTATATTAGGATACAAAATTGTAAGTGTTTTATTACTATTATTATTATTATTGTTTTTCCATGAAATTTCCTTTCATATAATTTATTTAGTTTCAATTTTTATAGTTAACTTGATTACCACTGAATGATGGCTAAGATGCTAGCCGAAACGTATGGATTTTAAATAAATAAATTTTTTAAAAAAACTCATACTATTTTTATTGATGTTACGCCCGAATATTAAACTCAAATTAAACATATATATATATATATATAATATTGTAGGCTTTTATATTATTACTATATTACTATATTTATATTATTACTATATGATAAAATATTTTTCATATGACTATATGCTTATTGTTAGTCAATTCGTTATCCTTAATTTATTTGTATTCCAAGATGGACCAGATTTAAATATTTATAAATAACAAATTATACCAATATTAATATATATAAACAAGCGGTAATAATGAGAATTTGCTTTAACTTTTATTTTATTAATAACTTTTTAGGATAAAGTTTGATGAGTATAAGGATAAATAATATCTATCATTTTTTTTATATTTACAGTTATAAGATATCAAGATGAATTTCCGCGATAATTCAAATATCGAGTATCGAAAGCTGGATGCTCCATTGAAATTTATCAATAAAAACTATATCACCATAGGCGATAAAGATCGAGAAAAATATAGCAAAATATTGGCCGATATCTTAGAGGTAAATTAATAAAAATATTGCAAGTTACAAAAGTTTCGAGAGCGATTTGTCCAGTATATATTAGTAAATATTCGAAGTATTTGTGATTTGTATTTAAAACAGCACAAGTTGCAAATGGATTCAAGAATGTTCTTTAAAAAGTTGAAAACACTTTTATTTGAGACGGTGTGTTATTTGAATAAATGTTCTATGTCGGAGATGTATTTTTTAACAAGATATATTTTTTGTAAGATTGGGGCTTAAACAATAATTTTTTATTTATGAAAATAAGTAGGTTAACTTTGCAATTCAACTTGTATTTATTATGCCAATTATAGAGCATAAAATTTATTAAAACCAAAGCCTTTACGGGTGTGAAAAAAAACTGAACACTGCTATGAACTATTGAGCAAGTCTTAATTAAATTGATTTAATATTATTATGATTATTTTGTTCATTAATTTAGTTTGGGCCGGTAATCGTGCACATTCTTACAATAATGTTGAATGTATATAAACTATGAAAACTAAATTAATGTACTCTATGACATAAACATAATTTTTGTGCTTTATTTACATAATTTTAGGCATTCCGTAGAAAAATGGCCGAATCAGATGAAGTTTATAAAACTTTTGAAGGAGCGGTGCATTATACAGGTAATTAGAAATATTATATCAAATTTAGTTGATTATATTATTTATACTGGAAAAACTATGGCAACAATAATATAATAAACAATCTATAATATGTAATAAATTATATACCAGAAACGAAAATGAAAAGATTTAAACGATGTTGCCTATCTGTATTTTTATTTATTAACTAGATGACCCGACAGACGTTGTCCTGTACCAATGTCTGCAATTTTTTAATATAATATACAAATATTTACCGTTTTCCCAAAATAAGAATTATTGTTTTTTAAATTACTCTTCACGCCAAAATGCATATACATTTATAATATGAGCGATGTTAAATGTTGGAAAGTTTAACATAACACTGGTACTTCGTGTTGGATTGGTAGGCATTTCATTTTTCTTATTCATAATCAAGTTTATTATACATATTCTAATATTGTCTAGGTTCATAAGTAAATTGAAATTTTTGGCAGATCATAATTTTCATTTGTTTTCAATGCAAACAATGACATGTCGTTTTTTGTAATTTTTTTTTTCATTTATTTCTACAATATTGCTCATACATCCCAGTACTTAAAAAACTTTAGAAAGATTTATCAAAATCCGAATAATCGTTTAGGAGGAATATACGATGAGTGCTTGTAATTTAATATCAACTTTATATAATAGCAATAAATCTTAAATTGGTTCTACGTTTTAGTTAGAAAATGTCTGTATGAGAAAAAGAAAAGGGCTGTTTTTAGGGTTTTCACGGCAATTTTTCGATTTTTTCTCGCCGTAAGGACCATCCTTGGACTTCAACGAACATTTTATCTGAATACCTTGGGACTCAGATTATGAACAAATCAATAACAAAATCACTAAAATTCAGTTACCCAAATATAAATATGCACCCACTTTCACTTGATACCCTAATGTACATTCATTTTTATGGAATGGCTCAGTCAATGATTTCTTAATTTTTATAATAATATTTTCAGGTAGTGCTTATGACAAAGTAAAGGTTGGAAAACCAGATGAATTTGATTTGAATATAGTTATGAAATTGCCTGCTGCTTGGGACTACCACAATGATATAGAGGTAATATCTGAACCACTGTATTGTTCGGTTGTATTTCTTATTTGTAATAATAATAATGTTTTCCAATCTCATTTATTCAATTAAATAGACGTTGTTCTTGAATATATAAATTTACATAATCAATGCAATATGTGTTATATTCTTGTGCGTTTAATCGAAAGTTTTTATGTAACAACCCGTTAAGTTGCATTTGCATTTTTACCGTAAGCTCCCTGCATGAATAAAAAACTAGATTTTTGGAATTAAATGAGTTCCTAAAATATACTTCAAGTAGCTAAATATATTTGATTTTTGCAAATATTATCATTCACTTTAACAGGTAAAAAATTCAAGTCCTAGCTACGTCACAATTAACGTGAAGTCGGGTTGCGAAAGATCATACAGAGACCCGTCTTTCTTAAACAAATATCAAAAGTAAGTATATAGACCGGATCCTGCTCAGTCAGGAACTTTTCTCAATGTTTTGTAATTTCATTTTATTAAATGCCTGTAGTGTAGACTAATCGCCTTACTAATAATAATGAGCTGCAGCTCAATCAAACAGTTCACAGTTATTTCAGTGAGTTCATGCTATGAATAATTCCGATTGAATAATTCAAAAAACATTTTACTTGTATTAACAAGATGAAGAACTGATCAAATTTTCATGAAGGCAGGTCTAGCGGTTTCGGAGATCTGGTAAAAAAAATTAAAAAAATGGCATCTGGCGGTCAAAAATGATCATTACACATATGCACATCAAATTATCAGATATTTTATAGAGATTTTAACAATAAGTATATATTTTGTTTACATTCCTATGGGTTTCGTACAAATATTTATCCGTTAGACGGCGACGCGTCGCCTACGCGCTTCGATATTTTGTCTCTATGCAGTACGATTGCTTTGAAAAAAAGTTCAGAATTTCCAAAATATTTCAAAATAAATTTTTCTTCAAAAGGTCTTTTTTTTTCAAAAAAAAGTAAATTTTTGTCAAAAATTTATAGTTTCTCAAAAATCTAATTTTTTCAGAGTATTTTTTTTTCAAAAATGTTAATCTTTTTAAAAACAAATAATTTTTGGTACGGGAAGTTCCTGCAATTTGCCTTAAGGCACAATGCTATGCGCCCCACTAGTTATTATTATCGTTGCTTCGCCTTGAAATAGGGTCTTGCTATTAGGAAATCACATTTTTCTTGGTATATAATTTATCCTTCTAAAACCAGCTTCAAAATTTCGCTTTCATGTTTCGTGCCTTGAATCTTAGCAAGTCATCGATCATCCAATTCTTTTTTGTCCAGTCTCTTTGGTCCTTTTATTTTACCATCATAGACATCATGCAGGTGGCATTTTTTGCAAATGGGTTCGATATGGGATATATATATATATATATATATATATATATATATATATATATATATATATATATATATATATATATCTGTGTTTATGTGCATTATGTATCAATATGCGTGTTTGCGCACTAACTATTATAATTGATTTTCTTTCTCAGGGGTATAAGGATTTGGACAGATAACGAAGGATATTTTATTCAAGAACAATTCCATGCATGGATGGAAGGAGTTGTTAAAAAAGCATTAAATAAATTTCCATCACATGGATTGGAGTACATTATACAAACAAATGGCCACGCTATTTATGTACGTAATATGCATATTTAAATTATTAAATATAAGCAATAAAATTAAATATAAGCAATAACTAACAATACTTTAACTTTTAATACTTAACCTAAATAGAACCTAGTAGCAAATCACTTAAGTTATTACTTAACTAAAATTAATATTTTGTAGGAATAAATTAACTTAATTCTTGCGTACATTTCTGATATCAAGATCCAGATGAACTTGATATCAGAACAATCTTTGCTCATTTTTATATTTTTAATAGTTCAATTTGTTTTTAAAGACAATTCGTTGTTAAAGAATTATTTCTTACGCAAGATGTTACTTCAGATTTAAATTTAGATTTAGATGCAAGATATCAAGAAGTAGTTTTTCAAAATGCCGTATCTAAATATTTCAGGTTAAGACAAAAAAATCAGGCCCAGCTGTGACATTGCAATGTGAGAGTCAAGATAGAAAGATCAAAATAGACGTCGATCTGGTACCAGTAATACAATTTAACAATAATTCGTCTACTTTGTGGCTTTCTCCACCTGTTAGACAAAGACCTCTTCTTTGTTGTAAGGTAAGTACATTTTGCATAACAATGGGCAATGTTAATAACTTCATTACATGCATAATATGTGAACTAATATAATTGAAGCTCATAACGTTTATTTAATTTGAAATAAATTTTATTTGTGCAATTCTTAAATCACTCTATAAATAATAATTATTATTTGTGAATGATTAATCTGTGACCTTGTGGTAAGAAGTTTGGCCTTTCAACCAGAAGGTTTTAGGTATTAGGTTTGATATCTACTTCTTATAAGTAGCTTGATATCAATAGTTTTTTACTTGAAAATATATATACAAACTAGCCAACCGGGCGAACTCCGTTTCACCACCAGATGGTTTCATTTTATGTAACATTTCGTTTGGTGATTAGAAGATGAAGAAAAAAATTGTCTGCTGTTGAAAATGAATAAAAATTTGCACAATACACGTGATTGATTTGATGTTTTTCAATTGAAATGTTAGGAAACGAATAACTTTTTTTTTACTTTTTTGCACAATTTCACAATGAACACAATGCCGGTTTGTCACATGAAATTGACTGAGCAGAGAACAATGACTAGCTGGCAAACAAATGAATGGCAGTCAAACAAAAATATTAGTTTGTTTTACATGCTAAGTATCAGAGATGACGCTGTATATGAAAAAAGAAAAAGTGTTTTCCGCTTTTCTGTTGAAATTTTTCTTCAATTTTCTTTGCTATAAACCTCACGGAGCCCGAGATCTTTCTAACAAATGCAAAATCGTCGAAATCGGTTCGTGCGTTCTGGAGTTATATCGTCAGGAAGGAAATCCCGACTTATTTTCATATAATAGATATGGTTTTTAGTGTAATTAAATTAAAAACTATTTGTATTAGACAAATTGTAACAATAAAATATATCAAATAAATATGGTCCAAACTATAGGCAATCTTATAAAAAGCGGCGTGGTTAAGAAGAATCTCATCACTACTTATCTCATAGAAATGTTTATTGTTGTTCAACAATATTTTTAAAAAAATAATATTAAATTTAAAAAATAGTATGTTCATATTTTCTAAAAAGCTAATATCAGTTTTCATATATGGCTGACTATATTTGTACTGAAGCATTTCCATTCATAGAAAACTTGGTGCGCTGTTCCTAAGCCAAAAAAGAACAACGGCTTTACGAATAAAAATCGTGAATGGCGAGTTTCGTTCACCGATCAGGAAAGAGATCTTTTATATAATAAAGGTCGCATAAAAAACCTTATTAGACAAATTAAGGTAAGTATACTATGTTTTTTTTGTTACGTAGCAAACTATGCAAGTACATTCAGCTACTATACTATGTTTTAAATATAGATGATGAAATTGCTGCTGATTTTTAACGATTATCTAGATGTACTAACATTGTTTTTCAATTCATTGTAAAGTTTTCTAGAATTTTCTATCGGTTTGTCTGGATAAGATCAATTGAATTTTCCTTTTATTCATTCTATGAAATAAATTTAAAAAAAACTGGAATCAAAAAAATATTTAGCAGTCTTATTTTAGGCATTCTAATAAATTTTTAAGATTAAACATGAATACGACCGTGAAAAGTAACAACTCTTTTTCACAGAAATTGAAAAGTGTTCATGAAGAGACGAAAAGTTTACCAAGTTATTATGTGAAAACAATATTTCTTTGGGCTTTGGATGACAAAAGTCTCGATCAAAATATGTGGACCCAATGGTCAGATGGAGCGCTTTTTATGTTTGTATGTATATTTGCATATATTTTTTATGATTACATTTTTCGAAGTAGATTTCGTAAAATTTGCCTATTATGTAAAGTAATGTAATGTTACAAAAAGCTCATTAAGTTACACATATCTAGGATATGAAAATCATATCTATCTAAAGATATTTTGAAAAATATTAGTTTATGTCTGGCTTTCTCTCTCCATATATGGTTTATATTTAATTGATTGATTTGGGGAATTCAATACATTATCATTAATAAATGATTCCATGAATATTGTAGATGTTAAAAAGGCTACACAGTCATTTAGATGAAAACAAGATTCCTTATTATTGGGATTCTAGATGCAATTTGTTGGATGCTTTAGGATATGCCGTTAATAATATGAAATACAAGATTCAACGAATAATAAAAGAAATTGACAATTCATTAGATAATCCAGAAGTTCTGGCTAAATATTTGTGTGAGTACCAAACATACATATACATAATATAATATATATATATATATATATATATATATATATAACTGTATCAGTACAAAACTTATAACCAATCTTCGCTTTCTGATAAAATAGAAAATTCATTGTGTATATTTTTATGAAGGTATTGCTCTCATATTACAAATGTTCAAACTCAAAAATCCCACACAAAAACAGCGAAATATGTTTTAAGTTATAAATCAATAAAATATATACTAATACTGTAGAAATATTAGCGGTTAGTTATTCTAATTAGAAAACATTATAGTAGATTTTATACTATATCAATAGAATGTTCAGGGCTTGCACCCGAATTTTCGAGTATGAGAATCTATTTTTCATTACAATTATTTGTTTTGTTCAGAAATCCGTCTTGTTAATTTTGCGATCTCGATTTCAAGTCACTCTGAGTCGTTTGATACCAACATTGGAAATAGTATGTGAACCAAACATTGTCTTCTTGTAGACACTTATTCAAGAACTATTTCCAAATTTTAAGAACCAATTGATTTAAGTCGATTTAAACTTGCGTTGATTAGTTTACCGAACCATTTTTTAATAATTAGTAGATAAGTTCACTTGGATCACATTTCGACATAAATCCAGATTTTGAAAATTTTCTGTTAAGAAATATCAGTTGGGAATCGTGATTATAAGTTTCAGTGTAATTTTTTGTTGATTTTTTTGCGTATTTGATGAAACTTTTTATTATATTGTTTATAATATTAACGAACGAACATCCTAAAAAAAGTGGTTTAATTTATAATTTATATTATTAAGTTTATAATGTTCGGCTAAACGATTCCTCAATGCAGTATATAGTTTATCTATGTTTATTGGGTCGAAAAATGTCTAAAACAATAAAATCTATTAACATAAATGCGGATATTATACTTTTGTATTAAGATTATAAAAATTTCTTCAAATTACTATTAAAGTTACTCTTAAGTATTATATTAAATTTACTCTGAATTACTATTAAAGATTTGAAGGAATTATTGTAAATTCATTTATAATTTGGGAATATATTTTTTAAAACATTATTACTTGAAATTTATGAAGTATTTGAATTTATCATGTTGTATAATAACGGAGTTGACAACGATATATAATTGATAAATAGTGTTCTGATAAACAATCAAAGATACTTCATATTTTATAATGATTGTTACATAGTTCTTTCTAAAAATAATTAATTTTATTATATTGATATACTAATTAGTACGAATATTAGTAGATCTTTAAATTGACAGAATAGAAAAAATAATTTTATTTTTAATGTTTTCTAATTAATTTGTTTGACCTTTAACATAATATACTTTATTTTAAAACATTTTTGACATCGTGTTAACAATTGAGTCTAAATCATTAGGACGTCAGTACCTCATTGCTAGTGGCTGTTTTCTCTTAACATATTTTACTAAGTAGAGAAGTCGAATTACTGCATATTGTTGTTATGATTTATATAATTTCTACAGTAACTGCAGATGAATTTGCGGACTTCAGGAGAAGATATGGTTCTATCGAAGAAGGGTTTGAATCATTGTCCATTGATTCTGCCCCACCAGTTAGTGATTTACGTGGCGATTCTAGGTGTTGCATATTATAAATGTGTTCAGAGAAATTATGTTTTAACAATTTTATTATCACTTTGACTGAAACTGTTGCATAGTTTCGTTTTATAATATTTTATCAATATTCATGTTTTTTAGAGATTATATAATAATAATATGATATCATGTTTTACAATTTCATTAATAAATATATATTTGAATGAATGAATGAAATCATTTTAATGACTTGTCATGTATTTACAATTTCATTAATAAATATATATTTGAATGAATGAATGAAATCATTTTAATGACTTGTAGAAAATTCATTTGATGGGATGAATATTTAGAAATATTATGTAAATATTTATATTGAAAATAAGCCTAAATGAAGATCACATTTTGACTAGGCGCTTGTAACGTCCAAGAATCTTTGGAAATTCAGAATCGATTCAGTGAATTATAGTCTGGGATAGCGGTGGCGATAACGGTTCGAAAGTGGGCTAGCACATGGCTAGCACCAACTAGTCCCGGGTTCTCGCTACCGCCAAAGCCCGACATCAGGCATCTTTGATGTCAAATTTCCACTTGAGGTTATAGATCTCAAATATAGCCTCTCGTGGGTGTAGTAGCGTATATATAATAAAAATATCAGCTAATACTTCGAGTGTAGTTAATTAGTCATAATTGTATTGGACAGCTACTGGGTTGCCATCCATTCAAAAATCCATATAATAAAGTCAAAACAATTACTGAATGTCCTAAGCGTAACAGATTTTAATTAAAAGTGTAAAAAGTGAATCATAGTTTAATACGAATCCATTCCCTGAGTATTGAAAAGAGAAGTATATTGAACGATTGAGTGATGATTTATTCAATATTAACTAAATATATAAATTAATTTATTTTTTTGTAGCTTTCGAAAGAATTCCGTATTTATTGACTTTTCTAGAAATTATACTAATCTCGTTATTAGACTCGATGTTTGGCCAAACCGCTTCTTCGTAATTGGCAGGTGAGTGGAAAATTTTTCAATAATTTTTCCGATTTTGAAAATTTAAAAACTATTTAAAAGGTATCAGTTGACATTCGTGCTAATTAGATTTGGTAAAGATCAGCCGAGCCGTTCCCTAATTTAAGCTCTAGTAATTAATTCTTGAAAAAAATGCATACGATATTAATGATGCTTCGCGTAGTTATAAAGTTAATGGTCTATATTCGATAACTAAGATTAGTTAGGTTTATCATTAATATATTATAATAAATTGCAATATGCCAAGAGGTCTAGAATTTTTTAAAAATCGTTTTTATTTTTTGAATATTTTCAAAGATTTCAACTATTCAAAAATACGTCTACAAGTCGATTTTTTTAAATTTAAATTTATTTGTTTCACCACAATTCCCCCGCGAAACTTTAAACGCGTTTTTTTCGAAACTGTCTTCAACTTAATGGACCATTGAAATTTTTACAGAGTCTGTTTTATAAACTTCTCTTTAGTATAGACTATACACTTATATCCAAATTCGTATTTATTACGATTGCGACATTATTTTAGATTAGTAGCATATATTTTATTCAGTTTGTTTTGATTACTTGCTAAAATCATGGGTATAGACAGGTGCCAATTTTCCGAAACCCCATTGTCAAAAATTAATTCATGGCTTTACCAGAATACCCTAAGGTAAAATGTCAATTACACATTAGGAGTTTTGATTAAAAAATTGCTGTAGGATAATATACATAAGATATACTGAAATTGTTCTTATTATTATGTTAATTTTATTTTGGACAAATTTGTAATTTAATACTTTTACTACGTATACATAAATCAAATTTTACCTCTTGCAGATATATCGTATACTTGTGCGGTCTGTGGAGTGAAGATAACGTATAATAAAATTACATTTTAATCAGAATGCACAAATGGGTTTCACGATTGAATGGTTTTCAATGCAAACCTTTGCACATGCGCGCTCTCGAACGATATATAAGATCCATGGAACAGAGAAATATCTAATATTTTCGAAATATTCGCAATACTTGCCAAAATATTGTTGCAATATACATTTTTTTCGATATTTACAAATGGATACCAGCAATAAAAAAATTGAGGAAATTTTAACTTTGATAAAGAAAACGGGAATATCAAGGAACATTTTGTTCGATCCTAAGATTACGCGGGTTTGTGAAAAATATGATTTGAAATGTAAATATTTTCAAAAGCATTTTCTTTTTATCTATGCTGCTGCTTTTATTTATATTTTTTACTACTTGTGTACCTTCATTCAATTGGACAATGAGGTAAGTTAGTCATTTTATCTTCTCTATCTTATATAACTATATATATTGCAAAATATTAAAATTTATTCATAAAAAAACATCGAAAAAAGCTGTCTGTTCATAAAAGCTGTTATATTTCTAAATATTAAAAATTATTATTAAAAAAACGTTCAAAAAAGCTGTCTCGCAAATAATTTTTATAGTCATCAATAATCAATAATTAAAATTGAATTGCAAAATTTAAAATTAGCTAAAATGCAACGCAAATTAGTATATAATACTAACCAATTCTATTTATATATCTAAATATAGCGTAAAAAGATTTTTATAAAAACGATAAAACGGTTGGCATTTTTTTTTAATATAATTTGACCAGCAATCAGAATTTAAGGGCTCTTTTGATGATAATACTTAACTAAATTACGCCGGTTTTTATTAAAGGTAACCCAAGCACCTCTGTGTCCCTTAGTTGGCAATAACATTTCATAATCATAATAAATATTTCACAAATACAGTTTTTTTTCTATAATATTGAATTTATTTTAAAATATTAACTGTGCATATTGATAAAAAAGTTGATATTTCGTTGTGTATATCAACAAGGCCAAATGCAATTAGATAAAATTATTTTATTGCTGTTCTAGAAATTATTTTACATCATTCGATATTCATCTATATTTCATACGACCAAAAATATCACCACGGACAATATTTTTTCAATATAAAATACCTATAGTTAAATAATGTATATTTTTTTCTAATTTTTATTAATATTTTTGTGATTTTATATTTAATTTAGGACTGCATTCTAAACATGCCAAGAATAGTAAATGATGTTTTTCGACCTCCTATCAATTGTGATTTTTGCAGGTACGTTGAATTCTATTATAATAATGTGATTTTTTTACTGTTCTGTAATATTAATAACTTCTATAATTAATATTTTTTTGGAATATCTGATATAGACTAATATGCTTGAAATTATTTCGTTTTATGGTTCATTATGTATCATCCTTCAAATGATGATTAATTATATTCAAATTGAAATTCCTGTACTGCGGATCATTATAACAGAGATTGATAGGAAAGTTTGCAATAATTCTTTCATATTAAGGAGTCTTTTTTTAGTTCGTTCAGAATTAGGTGATTTAACAATTGCTTGTGATTTATTATATTCAAATTCAAATTCCTGTACGGGGGATAAATGCAACAGAGATTGATAGGAAAGTTTGCAATAATTCTTTCATATTAAGGAGCCTTTATATTAATATTTGTTATACAATTATATTTTTACAGCTGAATGCAAAATAATTTCTGTATTTTGCATGCAAATATTAAATTAAAAATATAATTTCAAGTAATTCCTTATATTCCTTTTATTTTGCTAAAGTTGCACTCGTCAGCAAAACAGATAAATTGTAATTGACGTAAATGCCAATTATTTACTTCAGATATGAAAGAATTTATTTATTAATTAATCATAAATTTCTTCAAAATCAGATGAATCAATTTCAAAATAATATTTCAACACAGTGCCCTAGAGGACTATTTTCAAAATCAAGCAGAGTTTTGATTTATAATTGTAATATATCAGGATATCAGTTATATATTATTGCATTATCGGACTAAATATATTTAATATTTGTAATAACTAATATAACTAATATTATAATTAAATTAATAATAAAATTAAATTATAATATAACTAATGAAACTAATTAATTAATTTTATATAACGCAAGTATACTTGATGCGTTGCTATGTGCTTATTTCATGATTATTACCCATATTAATTTAAAAGTCGGTGATCAAAAAATGGATTAATCTTTTAGACACGTGCAAAATATACCAAAATTGACAAAATTAAGTCAAGAGGACTTCGAAGATAAATTCGCTTATAGTGGCGCACCCGTTATTGTTCAAGATGCTACAGATTCTTGGTTGGCTACATCAAAATTTAGCTATGAATTTTTTAAGAACTTGTATTCTTCAACGAGCAACACTAGGTAATCTAATAAAATTTTATTTATTATAAACACTCTGCATAAATATCTATTAAACTATACAATTATTTTACATTTACAAGAAATTATTATTAAACTTTACAGAACTTCGCGGGATTGCCAATTCTTTCCATATGAAACAGAATTTGAAAACTTGTATCAGGTGTTTAATATGAGCACAGAAAGATCACTGTTAAAACCAGGTTTGTTATATAAAGTTGAATTAAAAAAACATCTTCGTAGAAAATTCGAGTAAAAAAATTTAGAAGATCTAGAATAAATTTAGATTTATTTTTATTCCATATATTTTAATATCAGCTCACATTTGTTCACTTAAATTTTTCCATTTTCTTAAGAAAATCAGTCTTATTCGTCTAGAATTTTCATGATATGTTTCTTCGGTAAAGTTTCTTGAAATGACCCACAGAATCTGAATTGCAATGTTACATCATTGAAATTATTAAAAGAAATAGTAAATCTAAAAATATAAATAGTAAAAATATTTTTTCAAATGAAATATATTTATGAATGATCATATTGAATTAACTGAATTTATAAAAATATTTTTTGCATATAGACTTTGAATTGTTTAAATATAAAATATTGTTTTCAAATTATTTTGGTCTTGGTCTTAGGTACTAAACCTTGGTACATAGGCTGGAGCAATTGCCAAGATTCAGCAGCTCTCGAAATGAGATCTTTGTACTCTCGACCATACTTTTTGCCAAAAACATCTGGTGAACCTACTGCTACTGATTGGATTTTCATGGGAGGACCTGGCAAAGGTGCACATCTCCACGTAAGTGAAAATCTTATACTAAAATTTTCAATTTAAAAAGAAAACAATACAAACATGACATTAATATATAATATAAACTGATGATCTAATATAAATTTCGTAAATATTGCCCATTTTGCTCAAAAGCGAGTATGATGTAAAAACAGACAATTTCTGAACTTGTTTTTCAGGATCTTCCTGATTTTCACTCTGTTTTTGGTAAATCTCTTTCATTTGGCTCATGTTCTAATTGTAATGTTTCAACTCCTCTTCAGAGCATGAAAACATATAAAAAACTTGTTATCCACTTTACCTTCACAACATCATATTTTTTACTTTTTAATTTTTAAATAGGTAAAGTTAACTTTCTTAAATTAATTAATTTAAGAAAAGCACAAAAATACTGAAGATTTTTTTATATGTATATATACTTTTTTAATCCCTTGATTGATTAATTATAGAAAAGTGGTTTATATTATATTTAGTTGGACAATGTAAATCATCCTTCATGGCAAGCTCAAATCAGAGGAAAAAAACGATGGACCATTATTCCACCGCCAGAATGCTATTTTCAATGTTCTGGAGAAATTATTGCCGATGTTTATCCAGGAGAAATAAGTGAGTTTCAATTAATTCTTTAAAGGCATATGTTTTGAAGAAATGATGATATTGATAATATTATTTTACCATAATAATAGTATCAACAATTATTAATATCATTAACAATCGCTATATTAAAAATTATTACGCTAGGCATTATAATTATATAGTTACCTCTTTCAAATTTATGAATACTTTTGTTATTAACTTACCTAATGTGTATATCAACTATATATCAACAAGGCCAAATGCAATTAGATAAAATTATTTTATTACTGTTCTAGTTGTATTGGATACAGATATTTGGTTTCACCAAACAGAAATTTTACCAGGTGATATCAGTATAACTATTGGTGCAGAATACGATTAAATCGATCGTCAAGACTCTCAGGTATACTTCAAATAGTTTTTTTTATTTTATTTTGTAAATAAAGCCATATTGTATTTATCACAACGTTTTTAACGTTTTTCAATATTTCTGACGATTACCATTATGTGCTCATGCTTTTCTGGAGTTCGTGATTTTCAGAAGAAAACCCAATGTTTGTTTTATTTTTATTATTGGAATTTAATTGGGATTGCATTAATTTGGGATTATTAATTACAATGATGCATTATTACCTGACAGTGATCAAGATACTGTAGGGTTTATGCTATTAATAGTTATATATGCTATTAATAGTTTCAAATTATTCAGTTCTAAAGGACGTCCAAAATGACTCTACTTTGTTAATTTTTGGAGATTTGCAGTTCAATAACAAACTATTAATATATTTGCTTCAATAGAAACAAAATTCAATCCATGATACGTTGCATACTTTATTTCAGGATTCTGGTAATGTAGCACTACATTTGTAAAAGTATTTAAATACAATTCACAAAATAAACAAAGACTATTTATGACATAGACTATAAGTTTTGATTCTTTTCAATAACTATAAAATATTTATAATATTCTTGAAAATCGAACCAATTTCTTAAGTAATATTATTGTAAATATTCTACATTTAAGATCCACCAAATATATGCAAAAATTTGGAACCACAAGCAGGCAATTGGCATGCCTTCTCGTCCATTTCAGTTTCTGCTTCGGAACAGTCCTTCAGAATGCAATGACGCCAACGAATCTGTAATTATATATATAATAATTTGGTAACCCATTAAATGTACGATTATATTTTATGTATCAAAGTGTATGGCATCGTGCTCTAAGGCAAATTGCTGGAACTTCCCGTACCGTAACGAAATGTTTTCAAACAGATTATTATAAATTCTGTAATATCATCTTATATTTATAAGAATTATACTAACTGAATTACAAAGTCAAAATTATTCACTTAAAATATATAAGTGAGTTTTAGAACTTTAACCAGAATTAAAATTGAAATCTCAATTATTTTCGATATTCAAAAAAAATTTTTTTCCAAAAGTAATTATTTTGTCAATACAAGCAGAAAGTTTTTTGAATCATTCAGATCAGATGCTTATTTCGCTTTGTATATTCTAAATGGCGGGACCTGCCTTTGCCAAAAACTAATCATTACTTCTCCCAATCATTGCAAATTGAAAGTTTTTTGGATCATTCAAATCGGATACTCCGTTCTCTCAAAAACTCGATTTGTACTTTCTGCACTTTTGCCCCGTATTTCCAAAACGGCTGGACCTGCCTTTGCCTAATCAGCACATCTCCCTATCAATAGGAATCGAATGTTTTTTAAATCAATCAAATCGGTTGATCCGTGCGCCCGAAAATGTGAACGAAAAACTGCGGACACACATCCATTTTTTTCTGAGGTATGCCAAAACGTTTAGAAACCTTCAAAACGTGGAGAAATGCAAAAATTTTCATTTTCGATTTTTGGCCCATTACTAGAACTACCCTAACTTAAGTTAATAATATATAGATGAGTTACTTTTTTGCGCTCTTTAATATACTAAAGTGTGTCATTTGGTTGGTTTTATTATTAGTGATAGTATTTGTAAATTATATATAAAGGATAAGATGAGAAATTGGTTTTATATAAAATAATTACTTTTTGCACTTTTATCTGCGCATCTGCGAAATGAACAATAAGTTTTCAAAGAACAAGGCAGAAAAATTATATCCGGACATTCATACGCAACCAATACAAATAAATATATAATTTAATTTTAATTTAAATTTTTAATTAAAGAGGTACTCATAAAATTCTTCATATTTCAGGTTATATTTTTATAAAGACAAATTGCACTACGCGGCAGACCATTCTAATTCTAAACTTTCTAACAAAATAATTTTATTTCCGGCAGAAAATATAATTTAAATAAATTTAGCAATTTTTTTCGACGTTTTCACTTATTCTGAATTGTTTGATACCAGACCTCTACGAAGTCCGTCAGACAAGAGTTAAGGCAAAATTCCACTTACACCTGGTTCATTATTAATTTTACCTGTCGTCCTTTTCCACAGGTGACACTACAAGCACTCCATGGTGTCCAATCATCCCACCGCCTGGTTTTTACGTCTCGAACAGGTTTCGGGCTAACAGACACGGCCGCACTACTTCCAGGAGATCTCGTGCTACCTCCACGTGGTGAACGATTGCTTTGTGAATCTATGTGTATAACAATTACAGGTGTATGTATTCTTTTTTTTCTTATTTTTTATATTCATCTATTTTTTTATTTTATTTTTCGTTTCATTTTATTTGAAGCGAGCAGAACTATATGTTCTATAAGCTGCTATTCCGACTGTACATCTTGAACTTAATTTTTTTCTGGTGGCAACCCAGTGGTCAAGCACCCTTGTTTTTGTGTATATTATGTATAAAGTATATAGGGTAGCGCGGGGCACAAAAATTCAATTTGACTTTGAGTAATCATATTGTGAAACCCAAACCAATATCATACCAAATAACAACTATCTAACTAGGCTCAGTAAAACTCCCAGCTAATATATCATGTTAGAAATATATTATTTTTTGCTGTTTTTTCGAAAATTTGTATCTTGGTTCTTTTTACGCCATAGGAAGGTTAAAATGAGACGGCCATGGGGCAAATAGGACCAATGTTTATATTTTTAATTTTACGAAGCTACATTCATAGATTTTAATTTAACCAAATTCATCAGAAGAGTTGAGATAAATGTTTACCTTATCTATAAAAAATTTCTTTTTTAACCTTATTTTATTTTTATTTCCAATTTTTTATTGTTTACACCTTTTCCAGGGTGAAAGATTTAGGGGAGAGCCTGCATTAAAGACTTGAAAAAATCGTTTTTTTTATTGCGAAAATGTCTTAAAAAACTAGCCAAAAATTTATCCCTAAAATTTCAGAAACAAATTCAATTTTTTTCGGAATTACAGAAAAAATATTGAGCAAGCGTCAAGCATGTATACGAGCGGAACGAAAACTTCGAAGAGCAAATTTTCGGATTTTCATTTTTTCGATTCTTCCTAATTGGCGGGAAAGATAGGAAAAAAACTAAACTTCCTATCAAAACAAAATTCATTATATTCAGGATTAAATTCTAGTTGAACCTAAAAAAACTTTAAAAAAAAGTTATAATTAATCCACTTTTTAAACAAGGTAAAGTAAATTTTTGTATCAAAATTATACGATTTTTTTTTTAAACTTCGAAAAATATATAATATATAAATAGGTTCAACTAAAATCTATACTATTGAGAACATATATTTGTTTTGATTTTAATGAAAAAAATTGAGAAGAATGTTGAAATATATAACAATAAAACCTAAAATTTTCGTTACATTTAAATATTTATTTCCTTCCCTAAAAATTCCTCAAAAAAGGCGATTTTTTGAAGCCTCTAATGCAGGCTCCTCCTTTTAGTTGGTCCTTTTTACCCCAACCACGTGTAAGTTTTTAGAAAGGCTATATGAAACACTATTGTTATTAATACATCTTATGAAATAATTGATTGATTAATACGTCTTATAGAATAATTAAATAACGTATACTTAAAAATTACATTGAGGTCCTATAAACTAAACACCGGTGCTCACTACCAAAAAAACTAACAACGAAAGAAAATGCTTTTGTTATGGATTTTCAAACATTTCCGAATATCTAGCGATTGCAAAGTCGTAAAAATGTTCTCTCTCTACTTTCAAATATTGTTGTTAAAATTTCTTAATTTTCCGTGTTTTTTGATATCAGTGTTTGACCTTTTTATCCGTGGACCATTCAGCCCCGAATGAAAACTTAAACGTTATTTGAATACTTAGGAAGATGTGCTTAGAACGTGATGATAAGATCATGCAATTGTTCATTGTTGCATATAATGGTATATGTGGTGAAACATGGTTGATTGTTCAATCATTGCATATACAATCAACCATAAGTGACAATCAACGTTCAAAATAATACACTACAATAAATCTGTTTGCATCAAACCTGCATAAATATTACTTTAAAACAATAGATAAATATAAAATGAACGTACTCATTTTTTCTATATCAACAAGTTGCTTGTAAGGAGCAAGCGTTGGAACATTTTCGTCAGAGCGTTCTTTCAAATTATGTTCCTCGCCTGCTATTGCTGCTAAATTATCATCTTCACTGGTTCCATCCAATTGTCCATTTCCTGGGGGACAAGTTTTATGTTTGTCTTCTTTTTCAGATTTACACATTTTTTTATTTGAATCATCCATATTATTGTTGCAACCTCCTCCAGCATTGCAATCGTTCACTCTATCATGATCTGAAATTTTAATAGCATTTTCAATAGAATGATTTTATCAGAATTTTTATATTTGATTCTAACTTTGAATAGTTCAAAGAACAACTTTATATTATACTTTCGTAAATTTAAAAACTATCTCGCATTAATATGTGCCGAAGAAGGAAATCAAAAATGCTATTTCGAGCTAATTTTTATATAAAGATTCAATAATACATTTACAATTTATATACATTTACAATTTATATTGTTTATCAGTACAGAATAAATAAATAAACAATAAGAAAGCAAATTATTTGAGAGTAGTAGTACCTACAGTGATCAGTATAAGCATACTTTATTTACATATACAATTTATTCTACATTATTCTACATTTATTCTATACAATTGAAATAAATTTTTACTAGAAGAATATTAGGAGGAAAAGCTGTAAATATTCATAAATCTTCAAAATATTTTGAAAGCTATGATTAAATTGAAACTATTTCGAAATTTCTTCTCCATTCTCTTTACTGTATTATCAAAATTAAAAGACTTATCTTCTATATCAATCAATTGAAAAATGTTTCGATTTCACCTAAAACTAATCAATGTGATTTCTAATTGATATTTATTTAACAAATATATAATTAACTTCCCGTAGTGAATCGCAAAAAAATCGAAAATGAAAATTTTTATATATCTCTACGTTTGAAAGGTTTCTGAATATTTTGGCATATCTTAGAAAAAATGGATGTATGTCTGTGTGTGCGTGTGTGTATGTATGTGCAAATACAAATTTTCGTCGACGATTTCGGGAACACCGATCAACCGATTTGAATAATTTAAAAAACATTCGATTCATATTGATAAGGAGACGGGCTGACTAGTTTTTGGTGAAGGCAGGTCTAGCCGTTCCGAAGATACGGGGCAAAAAATGCCAAAAACGGTAAATCAGTTTTAAAAGAACGGAGCGTCCGATTTTAATAATTCAAAAAACATTTTACTTGTATTGACAAGATGAAGAACTGATAAAATTTTCATAAAGGCAGGTCTAGCGGTTTCGGAGATCCAATGAAAAAAGTAAAAAAAAAATGCCATTTGGCGGTCAAAAATGATCATTAGACATATGCACATCAAATTATCAGATATTTGTGTGTATGTATGTGCAAATACAAATTTTCGTCGACGATTTCGGGAACACCGATCAACCGATTTGAATAATTTAAAAAACATTCGATTCATATTGATAAGGAGACGGGCTGACTAGTTTTTGGTGAAGGCAGGTCTAGCCGTTCCGAAGATACGGGGCAAAAAATGCCAAAAACGGTAACTCAGTTTTAAAAGAACGGAGCGTCCGATTTTAATAATTCAAAAAACATTTTACTTGTATTGACAAGATGAAGAACTGATAAAATTTTCATAAAGGCAGGTCTAGCGGTTTCGGAGATCCAATGAAAAAAGTAAAAAAAAAATGCCATTTGGCGGTCAAAAATGATCATTAGACATATGCACATCAAATTATCAGATATTTTATAGAGATTTCAACAATAAGTATAAATTTTGTTTGCATTCCTATGGGTTCCGTGCCAATGATATTCGTTAGACGGCGACGCGGCACTTACGCGCTTTGGCATTTTGTCTCTATGCAGTTAAAGCAGTACGATTGCTTTGAAAAAAAGTTTAGAATTTCGAAAGTAATTTTTGTCAAATTCCTAGTTTTTCAAAAATATAATTTTTTCGAAGTAATTTTTTTTTCAAAAATATTAATCGTTTTTAAAAAATAATAATATTTGGTTCCAGCAATTTGCCTTAAGGCTAGATGCCATGCGCACCACTAGTTTCTGTAAATTAATTGCAGTGCATAAACACGCATTTGGTTGTCCTTAAAATGCTCAACAATCACTTAACTGTTCTAATATATAATTTATGTGCTGTCGTATATCAGCAACAGCCCTTTTTCAGGAATGTCTTTCAATTTTATTGTTTTCTCCTAATAACAATGGTAAATTAAATTAATTAATGTAATTATTTTTGTCTATATTTCTTTTAGCATGATTCGAAATAATCAATCTGAACCCTAATTGATATCATACAGACATACTTATAATATGTATAATATTATAATTTATTATAATTATTTTTATATTAGATTATGTTCACGAACACCCGCTTGAAATATATGTGTTGTATGTTCTGCAAGCTATATTAAAATGTTTCTCTAGACCAGTGATTCCCAACCTCTTTTGTTTCTGTAAATTAATTGCAGTGCATAAACACGCATTTGGTTGTCCTTAAAATGCTCAACAATCACTTATACGGAGAAACGGTCTGGCTGATCTTTACCAAAAACTAATCAACATGACTTATATCTTTCAATATTTTTTATAATTTTTTAAATCGCTTTAGAATGGCTATAACGTTGAAAAATAATTTACACTTTTCTGATTATTATAAAGAAACCGCTTAGCCGATCGCGCAAAAAGTAGAAGGAGAAAGTGATTAGATAACTTATTTACATTTTACCTTGATTACACTCCTTTTCCTTATCTTTACATCTATTGCCATGGTTATGATTAGGAGTCTCTGTTGCATCTTTTTTTGTTTTATCATTATTTTCATTAGAAGTCACTGTTGCATCTTTTTTTACTTTGTCTTTATTTTCATTAGAAGTCACTGTTGCATCTTTTTTTACTTTGGCATTGGTGTTTACCTTATGTTCAAGATTGTGCAACTGTTCTAATATATAATTTATGTGCTGTCGTATATCAGCAACAGCCGCTTTTTCAGGAATGTCTTTCAAATTTTTATTGTTTTCTCCTAATAACAATGGTAAATTAATTGATTAATGTAATTATTTTTGTCTATATTTCTTTTAGCATGATTCGAAATAATCAATCTGAACCCTAATTGATATCATACAGACATACTTATAATATGTAATAATAATAATAATTTATTATAATTATTTTTATATTAGATTAATGTTCACGAACACCCGCTTGAAATATATGTGGTGTATGTTCTGCAAGCTATATTAAAATGTTTCTCTAGACCAGTGATTCCCAACCTCTTTTGCACAGCGCCTCCCTTAATTTTTTCAGAGACTACAGACTACAAATTAATGATTTGAACACTATCTGAATTTTTAAAATCGGTTTAGCATTTTTGGCTAAAACTTCACATTTTTCTGCTTATTAAAATTGTAAAGAAACGACTTCACTAAACTTATAATTCAGGATGACATAAAAAGTCGAGAAAACAACAAAATAGCAAATTAGATTTTCTGACGAAACCATAAACTTCTCTTTCATCAATTAAATAATGAAGATGCACTGAGTTAATATGTAATTGATACTTGATCCGCGTTTTATACTAATCAGAGTTTTCACCATGTTTCAAATTACTATTATTTTAAATTAAAATACCATTTATTTGACTTGATTTGGCATTGCATTTTGCATTTGGCAAGTCCTCTCGGATGCTATCAAAAGCCTGCGGTGTATCCAAAAGTAATCTTCCAGCAACCAATGGGGACTCCGAGTTTGATTTTTCGCGTTTTAGTCTGTGATTTTCAATTGCCTCAGTTTTATAACGCAAATAACTGCATTAACATTATTATATTTTAATAACACTAATTTTGTCGCATAATTATTGATAGTAAAAAAAAAATCATAAAAAAATCCATGTACATAGTTTAAAACATAGGATTTTTTCGAGAGCTTTGGCAAAACTGTGACTGTTTTTTGCATATTGTGGTTAATTTTTATCATTTTTAATCATTTAAACTTTGGATCCGTAAACGTGAATAACATTTCTCTGACCCCAGTCAAAAATAGTGACATATTTGCCCTATGTTTTCCAGAACTAAAAGAGGATAAAAAAGAGTTCTCTAGAACTAATAAAGAGTAAAATAATAAGTATAGGAGCATCAAACAACTTACGCGCTTTTTAAAGGTTAAATGACTTTTTGAAATCCAATCTATAACCATTTTTAAATACCTATCTCCTAATTTGAATAAGACATAAGCGAAAGTGGTTTCTTTCAACAAAGTTATCACTAACATGACTTTCATCTAGTTAGCAAAAATTGGACGTGATTATTGTGTGAATAGTGGTCTGAACTACATTATTTATAATCACCAAAGTTTGTGATGATGCTAAATAAATTATTTTTAATTTTCTGGCATTGTTGTTTTTTGGGCTAGTTTTAAATTAGCGTCATTCGGAAGCTCATTCATTGTCAGTTAGATTGCAGTTTGAAATATAAATAACATACTTTAGCACAAATAAATGATTTGTCAAAGGTATGACACATTGTATTAAAAAACTTGTTATTGTCACTATATAATTACTACCTAGGCTAAAATATTTATTATATGATTGTTTATGGAATTCAATTGGTATCTAATATGCTTTAGATCAGTGCGTTAAAAAAGATGTCAATCTAAAGCTTCTTACGTTCTGACTTAAGCAGATTTTCATTTCTTAATTTAATGAAATAACTAAAAAATAAAATATAAGCGCCAAACGCCTGATTATTCAAAAACTCTTCATTGTTAATAATGACGCAACTAATAACTAAAAAATAAAATATAAACGCCAAACGCCTGATTATTCAAAAACTCTCCATTGTTAATAATGACGCAACTAATTAGACTTAAAGAAACTCGTTTATTTATATCTTGTTTACCTTAATGGCGACTCATAGTTTTTGTATTCCTCCCAATTTATAGCAGCAAAACAAACAGTAAAAAAGTAAAATATCAATAAAACCCTTGTAAAATATATCTGTGATAGCAATAACATGACACGAAAATAAAAAAATACATTTCAAATATAATAAAATATATAATACTCATTTGTCCTCGTTTTTGGCATATGTCATCGAATACTTTGTTTTAACCATATAGTTGTACTAAAAAAATTATTAGTTTTTAGCAATATTTTTAGTTAAGGTTTACGCCAAAAATTCGGAACTTTTCTTCATAATTAATATTTGGCAAAATAAAACATAATATCTAAAATTCTAAACGAACATTTTAAAATATTATGTGCCTGCTAAAAGTGGTATAATATTAAAAAAGTAGCTAAATTTCAATTCTTATTGATAAAGTCGATTATTCACACGATTCAAGCGATCAAATAAAACTTGCCTTCAACGGTTTTTATTATTTTATCGCTAACAAGTTTTAGTGTTTTGTCATTTTTGCGTGATGTACATGTTTTTGTACTCGTATAAAAATGCATCAAACATTTGCGTCAAAAATATATTTAGCATGAACAAGCCGTTAATAATCATTATGCAGTAAACAATTGCAACAACATGTTATTAAAACTAATTATGCGTGAAAGTTACTGTTGGTAAAAACATCATTAATAATTTTGCTGATTTTTTTTATTTCTGTAATATAATGTATGTAATTTCCAAATTTGAACTTTCTAATCATCAACGCGACTTTGATCTTTGTTTTAATATCTTATGTACTATGCTTTTTTATTTTGAAAAGGTTTGAAGACATAGTTATTAAATATTTTTTGTATTTTGCATTATAAATATTAGAATCTAATGATTGGATTCATTTAGGAATACAACATTCAAATCATAAATTTGCTTTTAATATGAGTCTAAAATCTACTAAAAGTTTCCACAGTTTCAACAGAAGTCACTCAACTAGAACAATATAAGTCCATACACTGTGAAAAATTAATTGTATCTGGCGTAATGCAACATAATTACTGGCATTTCTCGTGCCAGTAATTTTTGTACAATTGAAAACAGAAGTTTAAAATTCTTAAAGTGAGAAGCTATTTTAACTAATTGCTTGCCCTTAATAAATTTCTCTTTTGTAACTTTGGACGGCGCCATTACCATTATAAAGTATTGTATTTATTCATATTATCGTAAGTAAAGTGTTAAATCAAACTCAAAAAAGTGTTAAAGAAGATTAAATCAAATTAAAATATAATAATGTGTTTTACTCTTTATTCATCTCACTCTTCTTTTAGCTTCTTTTATTTTTTAGCTTCTTACACATAGATAAATAAGCATGATATAAGAAAGTATAGATTGCAAACACGCGGTTGCTTAGCCATTACCTCAATTTTCTATATTTCCGCATCCTATGGGGCGTCACCAACTGTAGCACATATATTAACATCGAGGTTAATTTCAGATAAGATAAGAGTTGTCCAAAAAACCAGTAAAGTTAAACATTGTTTAGCTCAATATTTGAATCTAGAGGGAAAAAGATGTATAACCAGCTCTAACCTTGATTCTCATGACCATGCTCTCGGGAGATAAACGTTAATCCTTGAAAATCCATAATAAAAGTATGTTCTTCCGTTGGTAGTTTTTTTTAGCATTAGTTAAAAGTGTAATTATTTTGTAAAATACCTTTAAAATTAAAATAAGACATTAAACCTGTTTGCCACCTGGCCATTTCAAGTTACTCCGCCTATAGAGCAAAAAGTTCTAGATAACAAATTTTTGAAAGACAGCAAGACAGCACATCTTTTTAATGATGAAGTAGCTGATAGTTTTACTGAATGTAGTAGATAATTGTTCGTTTGAAATGTGTTATTTGTTGTGATATAATTAGCTAAGTTTTCGTGATATAGTTGATATTTGCTCAAAGTCAAATTGGACCATTGTGCTTCGCCCTGCTCTACATATATACTTTTTATTAAATTTATTTTAATTCATAGAATGTTACTTGAAACTTTTCAAAAAGCGGGTCAAAGAAGAAATACTTGATTCATTTTCTATCTTTCCTCGCAGAAATTTTAAAATGTTGTATAAGCTCAGTTGTATTATTTACAATTATACACAAAATGCAGAATCCAAAAATAATCTGAAAAACTTGAAACATAATCAATAAGTCGAAAGCCCAAAAAAGACTTGGATTGGATTATACCATGTCTTCTATAGAAAGTGTATAAAACTTCCAGACAAAATATAGACAAACTAATGGAGTTTATTGTTTTTATAATACCTCATTGTATATAGCATTCAAACAACACATCCTTATACACTAAAAGTATTACTATATTTGATTCTCTAGAAATTGTTTATAATATACCTTACTCAGCAAAACAACGTTTGCCGGGTCAGCTAGTTTAAAATAATTATATTAAATCAGTTCTTAAAAAAGCATAAAATTTAAGCATGGTAGTTCATCAGTTGGAAGATCATTTGTTCTAAGTTAACTCCCCCTCCCCTGATGTTTTTACCCTTCTTTTATCAATATCTTCATATATGTTGAAAATAGATAAAAGAAGAGTATTGATGTTAAATATGTGTTGAGTAATATATCATAAAATAGTAATAGTAGTAATATCTAATTAGTACCTAATAATTTATGCTTATTTATGTATTATCATAAAATCATAAAATATCTGTAAATCATGTAATATCATAAAATCGAATCCATCATAGATAGAAAAAATATCGAATCCATATCCATTTGTATTTCTGTAATCTATGATCGCGCTCTAACTTCGTGACAGTTTTCACTTGTCTCCTCTCTCCTTTTCTTATCTCTACGGTCAATGATTATTATAACTGTCACTTTGACAATTGGGAAACAATACCTTATTTCAAGTATGCGATTCTCATATTGCATTAGTCGATTTCGTTAGCTGACAACGAAGATATGCTAACTAAGCGATATGTTAATGAGGTGTTGGTGTTTAATTACAATCAGTGAAACCATACTCAATTATTAAGCAGTACGATTGTACTGCTTTTTTTATTTTATGATTTTTGAAATTCATGATAATGATCGACATTAAAAACAGTATATCTTATATAGAAAGTGTTCTAGGTAAAACATCCAAATTTTATTGTGATACATTCAAGATACTTCAAAATTACTACCATGATGTGCTTTAATTTTTGGATTATGCAAATTCGATTGTATTTGTTACATTTTGCTAACTATTTGTTCTTGTAAATCTGACACAATGTATATTGCAATCTAATGAATATTCATATGAGCATTGATTAAGCTTCAGTCTTTGTCTATGAATAATTTGAGCTTTATATTTTTTATTTTCATTTTAACATTAATTCACATTTCCAATTATTTCATTGAATAAACGTCTGAGTATAGTTTATGTATTAATCTTTCTATTTACTATTTAGATGCTTTACCGAAATATATAAAACTATTTTTTCAGAAAATTATATTGATTTGGACTATTCACTATGGCTCTATCGCTTGTTAACTCCACTACTCATAACATTCCTCCTGCCAGCAATCATCGTACTTATGTTTTACATGACCAGTCTTATATTGTATATATACAAGTTACATAGGTAATGTATCCATATTTCAAATACTAATATATATCTCATTTGTTTGTTTTTGTTGTATGATTTTTTAGAGAGAATTGTGTTTATATAACTTTGATCTATCATATAATTTGTTTAAGTTCATTTATATATATACATATATATATATATATATATATTTATTTATTTATTTACATATATACATTATTTTCATATCTCAGTCAGACAGAGGTGCCTGGTATGAGAGATTATGAAAAACAGTTTTCATATAATATTTACATTTCATTTGACTATAATATCTATTTCATTAATATAATATCTATATATAACTCTTCAGTCTTCTTTTTCTTCAATTTCCATATAGTACTTCTTTATTTTTCTTTTAAAATTATCATTATCATTGGTCATCTTAATATAGTCTGGCAATTCGTTATATATTTTGGTAGCACTCCATATGACATTTTCTCTCAAATTCTTTTTTCTATTGCGTTCAATGTGAAAATTGTTGTGTTGTCTTGTGTAGTGTTCATGTATATCTTGATTTGTGTCTATTGTTGCACTTGTTTTAATTCGGTTAAATTTCATTTTGTGTATTAGTTTGCATTTCTCTATTTTAATTATGTTATTTAGTGAATGATTATTTGTTTCTCTCTGCAAGTATTTGGTGGGTGTTAGATGTGGTAAATTATATGCTATTTTTATGGCTTTATTCATTATTCTCTGTATGTCATTTAGGTTTGCTTTAGTTGTTTGGCTCCATGTTGTTATGCCATATAAAATTATAGGTATTATTTGCGTTTTAAGAATTAGTATTTTATTTTTTTTGCCGAAAGAGTGGATCCTTTTCAATGCCCCTGTTAATGTTCCTATCTTTCTTTTTATTTTGTTTATATGGTCTGTCCATGTCAGTTTTTCATTTATTATCAGTCCTAAGTATTTTATGCTTTCCACTTCCTCTATTGCTCTATTATTTACTTCAATTTTTAGTTTAGTGTTCTCAGTATTTTTTCTATGTTTGAAATATATGTATTTTGTTTTATCTATGTTAATTGTTAGTTTATTTTCAGTTAGCCACTCGGTGTATATTTTCATGTCCGTGTTTATAATATCTTCGAGTCTTTTTTTATCCTTATCCGCATATACTATCGCTGTATCGTCTGCATATAATATGTATCTTCCCTTTAATTTTGCGTCTTTAAGGTTATTGGTGTATAATAGATACAATAAAGGTCCTAATACAGAACCTTGTGGAACTCCACAGGTTATGTTACATCCTCCACTTGTGAAATTTCCTACCTTCGTCCTTACCACTCTTTTCATGAGGAAATCTTTGATAATGCTGTAAGACAAACCCTCTACACCCAAATCTATTAGTTTATTGAGTAATATGCCATGATCTACTGTATCGAAAGCTTTTTGTAAATCAATAAAAATTGCAACTGTGTGCATATTTTCCTCAAGGTGCTGACTGATGGTATTAGTCAAATCTATTAGGGCACCTTGTGTATTTGATGAAGGGAGGAAACCATATTGATTTTTGTCAATTTTTTATATATATATATATATATATTAGTAATATTTTTTTATTTATTTATTATCATATATTTATTTTAGCTTAGCGATCTAGAAATACAACTATATACATGTTTATATTCACTTATACTCATTTCATCGTTACCTACTAACTTACATTTACATTATATCTAACATCAAGAACAAACCAGACATAAACACAAACATAAACGAACACATCAACTACCCCAGCAAAACTCAAAATCATCTCTCAATATTTTAGTTGTATATTAATGTTCATCATTCATGAAAAACACGAATAGGTCAATTTATGTTTTTTATTTAATTAAATGAAGAAGAAAAACTAATATGATACATTTCCGATGATAAATATTATGATAATTATTAATTATATGATAATTAATAAGTAGTATGAAAAATTAGTTAAGCCATCAAAAGTTTTAAGTATAACTTCGTCTCATATTCATGTACTACAGGCAAATAATTCAAATAAAATACAAAAACAAAAGACAAACAACATTAAGTATAACTACAAGATTTATGAAAATAGTTATAATCGTTATGATATGAATAATTGAAATAAAAAATATTTTATATTGAAAACTAAAAGCAGACAAAGACAATTTTAATGTATGATGAACTAAAAATCTAAAAAAATATTTCAATCAATAGATGGTTGGGTGGAAAACAAAATAGTTTTTAAATAGTTAACTTAATTAATTAACACTATTACCCTGGTTGTGTTGCAATACATTTATATAGAACATCCTAAAATTTACCTAAAAGTTTATTCAATTCATATTTAAAAACTAGTGGGGTGGGTGGCATCGTGCCTTAAGGCAAATTGCTGGAACTTCCCGTGCCGTAACGAAATGTTCGAGGAATATTGAATGTTTTCAAATAGATTATTATAAATATTGTAACATTGTCTAATATTTATAAAAATTATATAAACTGAATTGCAGAGTTGAAATTATTTGTTTAAAGTATATTAGAACTATAGTCAGAATTAAAAATAAAATCTGAATTATTTTCGATATACAAAAAATTAAAAAAAAAAACTCGATTTCTATTTTCTGCACTCTGTGCTCTTTATCTCCGTAACTGCTGGACCTGCCTTTGCCAAAAACTAATCAGCACATCTCCTTATCAATAGGAATCGAATGTTTTTTAAACCATTCAAATCGGTTGATCCGTACGCCCGAAAACGTGGGCGAAAATTTGTATCCATACATACATACACACACACACACACACATTCATTTTTATAAAGTATGCCAAAATGTTCAGAAACCTTCAAAACGTCGAGAAATGTAAAAATTTTCAATTCCGATTTTCGGCCCATTACAATAACTTACCCTACGGGAAGTTTATATGATAAATTACAACTACAACTAGATAAATAATATTAAAAAATATTACTTAACATTTATTTGCTTTATGTGAGTCAGCTATATATATATATATATATATATATATATATATATATATATATATATTAGGGTGGTCCTTAAAATGGTCATTTTCGAATTTTCTTGCTCCCAGGGGCTCAAATGGTTCCAAATTGATAAAAAACAATGCTCTGAAAGTTTTAGCTCTTAATATTAACGTTTAGATAGAGCGCAATTCAATCAAAGTTTCTATGAAAAGAGCATGGAGAAAAATTTGAAAATTAAAAAAAAATGTTTTAGGTATAACTTAGCGACAAATGAATGAGTTTTATTCATTCATTTGTACGCTAAATTACATCTAAAAACAGTTTTTAAAATTTTTGAAAATTTTTCCATGCTATTTCCATACAAAACTTTGATTGAATTGCGCTCTATCTAAACGTTAATATTAAGAGCTAAAACTTTCAGAGAATTGTTTTTTCTCTATTTGGAACCATTTGAGCCCCTGGGAGCAAGGAAATTCGAAAATGACCATTTTAAGGACCACCCTAATATATATATATATATATATATATATATATATATAAACTCTTTTACAATGTGATGCAATAATTTCTAATAAATGTGTAATTTTTAGGCATAAACTGAAAGAAGCCTATGAAAGTTCAAATCGTTGGGCAGCAGCTAGGAATGTCATTTCGGTAATTTGGGATGCACATGGATGGTTATGGCATGGTATTATTGTTTGAAATAATTTTGTTCACATCTTTCATTTAATATCTCAAATTCTTTGTTCTGAAAGGTTTCGAAATTGATGGAATTGAAAAAATCCCTTGTGATGGCCCTGCTCTTATTATATATTACCATGGCGCCATTCCAATAGACATATATTATTTTATGGCCAGAGTGTACTTAAAACAGAATCGCGTAGTTCATACAGTAGCAGATAGATTTCTATTCAAAATTCCAGGTACTTAAATACACATTATAAAGCTGGTGCCAGTTTCAATGTATCATTATTTGGTGAAGATGATTAAAACAGTAATATAAGTACAGTGGTACCCGACATGTGAGTTCAATTCGTTCTGTATCCACGCTCGTATGCCGAATCGCTCGTAACTCGAAGCAATTTTTTTCGTATGAATACATTGAAATACCATTAATTCGTTTCAGCACTGTAGTTTTTGTTACGTTTTTTTAATATCAAATTAAATTTATTATTTATTAATTTAATTATTGTTTGCTTATGCAAACATGATATTGCAGAAATGAGCTAGACATGTTTTGTTGTTGAGTTAGTTTTTATTCATTTAAAATCTAAAATATGGTTATCTAAAATAGCATTATGTGTTATTACACACTTGTATTATACTCTGGAAAACTGGTACTTGCTCAAAGCTCGTACCTCAAATTTTGATTTATATTGAAGCAACAAATCGTTTTTTTGCTCGTTATCGAAACATTGGTATGTCAGGTCACTTGTAAGTTGGGGAACCACTGTAAATCCATTTATTTAAACAATAAAAATAATCAAAGAAGTTAAAAAAAAAAATCTGTTATCACATCATACTTTTTAAGGTTGGTCTATAATATCTGAAGCAATTAAAGTAATACCTGGTACAATACAGCAATGTTCAAATATATTACAAGAAGGAAATTTACTAGCAATAAGTCCTGGTGGTGTTTATGAAGCGCAATTTGGATCTCATTCATATAAATTGATGTGGAATAAAAGGGTAGGATTTGCAAAAGTTGCTTTAGATGCAAAAGTGGTATGTATATAATACACATCTATTGTCAATTTTAATCTATTTTGTATAATTAGCATTTTAAATTGTTTAAGCCCATTATTCCATTATTTACTGAAAATGTTCGAGAAGCATTTAGAACTGTTGGAATATTCCAGAGATTATTTTTGAAGGTAATTAGTGCTTCATAGTAGTATCTAAACAACAGTTACGAACTACTATATAATATTGTAACTCATTAACATTTTTACACAGATTTATTCTGTTCTTCGCATACCATTAGCACCTATATATGGGGGTTTTCCTGTTAAATTATTAACGCATGTTGGCAATCCTATTCCATATGATGGAAGTCTTTCACCTGAAGAGCTTCAGATAAAAGTTGCAAAAGCTATTGATGATTTAATTTTAGAGCATCAAAGATTACCGGGCAACATATTGTTGGCCTTAAAAGATAGATTTATTAGAAAAAAGATAAAATATTAGTATTTTAAATAAGACATGTATATTCCAAATACGCATTTAAAAGTATTTTGAGGTGGAAGGTTTAAATTTTTACATATAGTTTATAAATTTGTTAATTTTTATGAATTGAGAAACTTAGTGGGCAATGATATTTTGTACAAAGTGTTTAATGCATAATATATTTTATAATAAAATATTTCTGTTTTTTATTTAAATAATGATATCTTAAAAAACTAATTCAGATAATAGAATTATCATAATACCAAGAAAAGGGTATGATTAATATTTTTCAATTTACAATCAATAAATCTTTTTATAAATTTGGAACTTTGTAAAATTTGAGAAACTTTTGAAATTGTATAAGCAAATTAATTTATTGGTACTTCACTGCCTTGAATGTTACAAATATAATTGGTTGTTATAAAAAAAAATTCAAAATCAAAATAAGAATTAATATATAGATTTTCATAAAATTTCAAAATCCAGTATGAATTCAAAGACTATTTTTTAACAACTTTAATTCCATAAGAATTAGAACGACGTACGAGGTGTGTTCAAAAAGTACCCGGAATTACTAATAATTAAATTTCGCGGGTCTGGAGTGTCTGATTGTCAAAATTTTTTTTTATTGTGTTGGTATACATGCCCCTAAAGTATGATGAAATTTTCAGCTATATTCACTGTTTACTTTGTCTGTGGTAGTCGCTAAGGTTCGACGTGTTTTTCTGAGCTCGGCGATTTTTACAATGGAAGAATTGAAAAGTCAAAGAATTTGTATTAAATTTTGCGTAAAAAATGAAATAAAGTGTTGCAAAGTGCAAAAATTCACCAGATATGGCTCCGTGTGACTTTTTCCTATTCCCAAAGTTGAAGAGACCCATGAAAGGACGGCGGTTTTCCTCGATTGAAGAAAATCGCTGAGAGTGCTCAAGGACATATCAAAAAGTGAATATCAAGGGTGCTTCGAAAATTGGAAAAAACGCTGGCATAAGTGTATTATATCTGGGGGGACTACTTTGAAGGGGACCACATTAATGTAGACGAATAAATAAATATTTTTTGAAAAAACGAAAATTCCGGGTACTTTTTGAACAGACCTCGTATAAAAACGAACGACGAGATACATTTTATAATAAGTTCTTCATACTAATTGTTATTTCGTTTTTTAAACTTTATTGATTAATTTATTCGAAGCAGGCCTATGTCTAGCAGTATACAGTAATGAAATGAAATAAAACATAAATAATATTTAAATAGTTTCTGCTTGCGCTAGAAATTTCATATATTGTGTCATAAATCCAATCGAGATATAAATCGTTGTCGATTCTCATATTTACTTCCAAATCGTCATTGCAGTCGTCACCCCAGATTCTTATACCGACCTGAAAAAAAATCACATATAACAGTTATGACTAAATTTCGATTTTTATATATTACTAAATTACATTAAAATTATACATGAAAACAAAACATTACTTTTTTACTTTTTTTGAAGCGAAAATTACAACTTTAACAAATAAAATGAATATTAAAATCTTTTCGGAAAATGATGCAAAAAGTATAATGGTGTATTTACATAAATTTAATTTTATAAGCAATTCAATTTTATTGAACAAGTGATAACAACAAAATAGTTTGTAAATTTCTAAAATAGTCAAAATCATTTTATTTACTGATGGGTATGAAGAAGTTTTCAGAGTAATCGAAAATGACGGACTTAATAGTTCAAAAGGTATAGAAGTTCTCGGAAAAAGAACTTTTGGATTGGAATGATTTATATTATATGTCGTCATAGTACGATAAGAATTTTATATCACAATAACATATCAAAATTTATTTTCTTATATACTAATATACTTACTTAAAAACAATCGTACAATAATTGTACTTAAGTACAAATTTTAACATTCTCAAATTCTTCAAAAATTTTTCTTTTTGAAAATTATATTTTTTTAATTTAAATAAATTTAAATTTTAGTTTAAAAAATGTATCATCAGAAAAATTTTAAGTTTTATTATTTTTTGTACATTTTTTAAACTTAATTTTTTTTTTCTTAGAAAACGTTCTTAAAAATAGTTTTTAATTTCTCGTAATTAACAGTTATTATAAAACTATAGGTTATTAACGATTTGCATTAAAATTCTTAATCATCAGACAATAAGAAAACGTAATTTTGAATTCTTAAAATTATGATGAGAGATTATTTTCGATATCAAAAATAAGAAACTGCGCTTTCTTATTGTTCTACTAATTAGATTTAGTTATCTAATACATTGATCAAAATGGTACTAGTTTTTCGATTATATTTTTATTGTAAAAAATAGTTAGAAAAATGTTAAAGCTGTGTACCTGAACATTGTCGCATATTATAGGACTCCCTGATATAAACTGAAAATAAATCATAAGCACAATTATTCAGATATTAAATGTTTGTATGCATATATATATATATATATATATATATATATATATATGTTTTATTGGTTTTATAAACTACATTGGCCATTTTGTTTTATTTTAATTGCATACTTATATAAAATTGCGAAGATAAAACATATTGCGGTTACATTCAAACAGCCAATCCGTCGAAAAAAAAAATTACTTATTCGGTATATGTTTTTAAAGATAACAATTTATAATATATATTTAATTAAAGATATTTTATAGCGCTATAAATTTTTGAAAATAATTTTAAGTTTGTTTAATTTTTATATTTTAAGTATATATCACGTGGTCATTTGTTTTGATCAACTGTTCGAATTTATACGAATATTGATAGTTTTTATTGTTCACTTACAGGGCAAAATTTTTTTTCACCACCCTTGGTTATTTTTTTCGATTGCTTTTTCAAGCACATACTACCTTCACGATTCATATAGTAAAATGCATGAGAGGCACCTCCTTCTGACATTATGTTCTTGAAGCATTCCTTAGTGTGTAACACTTCCATTTCAACAATATCGATATTGGATTCAAACTCGTTTGGATCAAATGTTTGTTGATGAAATACTGTGAACAGTTTATTAAAGCTCATTATATATGGGTCGATTTAAAAGTCGCTTAGGCACATATGGTTTTCGGATATTAGGGATCAAAATAAGATACATTGTTGAAGAAACCATCTTTCCTTAGAAATCGCCCATACAAATATTGCAAAAAATCATCGTTTTTGGTATTTTAGTCAGCAAACAAAATTTTTTAACTATTTTTTAACTTCCCGTAGAGCAAGTTATAGTAATCGCAAAAAAAATCGAAAACGAAAATTTTTATATATCTTTACGTTTCAAAACCTTCCGAATATTTTGGCATACCTTAGAAAAAATGGATGTGTGTGTATGTGTGTGTGTGCGTGTATGTATGGATGTGCGGATACAAATTTTCGTCGACGATTTCGGGAACACGGATGAAGCGATTTAAATAATTTAAAACATTCGATTTGTATTGATAAGGAGATGTGCTGATTAGTTTTTGGCGAAGGCAGGTCTAGCCGTTCTGAAGATACAGGGCAAAAAGTGCCAAAAACGGTAACTTAGTTTTTAAGAGAACGGAGCATCTGATTTGAATAATTCAAAAAACATTTTACTTGTATTAACAAGATGAAGAACTGATTAAATTTTTATGAAAGTAGGTCTAACGGTTTCGGAGATCTAGTAAAAAAATGTCATAAAAAAAAGTAAAAAAAATGCCATTTGGTGGTCAAAAATGATCATTAGACATATGCACATCAAATTATCAGATATTTTATAGAAATTTTAACAATAAGTATAAATTTTGTTTATATTCCTATGGGTTCCGTACCAGTGTTTATTCGTTAGATGGCGACGCGGCGCTTACGCGCTTCGATATTTCGTCTCTATGCAGTTAAAGCAGTACGATTGCTTTGAAAAAAAGTTCAGATTTTCCAAAATAATTCAAAATAAATTTTTCTTCAAGGAGTCTTTTTTTTTCAAAAAAATGTTAATTATAGTTTCTCAAAAATCTAATTTTTTCAGAGTAATTTTTTTAAAAATGTTAATCTTTTTAAAACTTAATATTAATTATGATATTAATTCATACACACAAAAACCCTTTTCACAAAAAAAAATATTAAAATATTTACTTGCAATTTTATAGAGGCTGTTATGGCGACAACATTAGAGAGCCGTGCGAAATTTGCCAAACTTAAAACCAAAAATGACTTCGAGCAATCATTAATAAGTTTTACATAGTTTTATTTACGTATGTTATGATAAATAAGTTTTATAATAAAAATAAATCGCTGATTTTTGTCATGTTGAAGAACCAAAAATGATGCAATTTTTTATGGTGGACCTCTAAGGGGGGCCCCAGGGGGTGAGCAATAGGCATGGGTAGATCGCAAATCCAAAGTTATATCGGTCATACATTTGGACACCATGCTCTAAATAAGCAAAAACAGGGACAATCCATGGGTCAATGCACTGGACATCAGAATTCATTTTAGAGATATGGTTTCTTCGGCAAAGTATCTCACTTTGATTCCTAGTATCTATTATAATTATGCAGTATAAAAATAACTAATTGATTGTGAATGTGAAAGTATGTGGTATTTAAATAAAAGGCATAAGTAGCTAACACAAATTATATGGATGCGTATTTTCTTAGCTTTTTTGCTAATACAAAATAGAAGTTTATAGAACGTTTAGGGCTTTTGACGCTGCTTCAAAGACAACAAAAAGATCATCGATCAAAATGAGCAACACGTCAAAAATGAAATTATTTAGTTTCATACGAAAATCGCCTTTAATTTACTAAAATCAGCATTTACTTGGATGCCAAAGTGGTAAATGGAAACAAATCTCAAAAAATAAATATTTTTAAAAAATTACAATACGCAGGCATCTTATGTCCTCCATAGTGTCCAGTGCGACAAATATTATAAAAGTATTTCAATTCACTGTCAGAACTATGATGAATTGGAAGTATTACTGGCTTTAATGTTGGAACGTTGATGGCATCCAGGAGCTAAAAAGGTGATATTATAATAATTAATTAATTATAATGATAAGTAATTAATATTTATGACTAAATCTTATCATAATATCAGAATCAACAAAACTGAACAGGAATTGTAAATTCAGAACTTAAATAACCATCAGTTCTCATATTATAAACCCCCATCCATAAATCACAGGGCAGTGATTTCCAACCTTTGGCCTTTGGAGCGCGGCCCAAACTTAAAACAAACTCAAGTGAAGAATACTAAATAGGTTAAAGAAATTCTGTTTTAAAAAAAAAACATAAATTGAATCAGCAGACTAAAAATATGAAATCTAGTTGATACATCATAATAAAAATATATATCCTTAGCATTCAAATTGAGAATGAAAGAATCATTTATGCTTATTTATCTTTGGTAAGAATACTATAATGATTTACCTTAATTAAGCCTATATTATGTTTGCGGGTACTTTCAATATAATAGTCCGATGGTCCGTTAAACTTGCCATGAATGAATATTTTCGAGCAACGTTTTCTGTACAATGATAATAAGTCTTCCTCAAATGGCGTTATTGGTAATTTAGTCGTAACACCGATAAGATTTGGACTATATGTGTTATAGCTGATCATCCATGTAATGAAAAAATATTTTATTATTATTGAATTTATATATTTAAAAGTCTAATAACAATAACATGCTTTTTGATAGTGCATTTACTCACTTTCAATTCAAATCGCACAAACTTTTATGTGCAACCCAAAAACATTTAAACTAAATATGAGCCAAATGTATTATCTGTTATGTTATTTTTAGATTTTATTTCTTTAATTATTTTTTTATTGTAAAACTATCAAGTACTGCTAGTACTGATCAAATGCGAACACTTTTTTTTTGAAGAAGAGCCTTTTAAAGTTGACCACATTGGAAAAATTTGAATTCATAGTTTAACAAATAGTCTCAATTCTTGAAAACTTAGTAGGGGTAATAGTGACATCATTTTTGACTGTGGAACTAGAAATATGATTTTACGGTCATCAAAAGCTCGTCATTTTCAAAGTTTTAATATATACTTATATAACTTAAATCGAATTTTTTTGCATGATGGCTACGATCAATATACTATTATTAACCCATCGGCTTGACCTCTTGACGTTGAGTTCTGGGTCACCCCGTGTGATGTATGATATGAGATAAACTGGCTTGTATATATAATAATTAATATGAATATTCTATAAATGCCACAGCTTTTTTTGAAGCCATGTGCTATCACTTTTTGGATATATTGAAGCAGCTAGTTGTTGTTAAAAATGTTAAATTAATTTCTGTTTTTTTTTTAATGTTTATTGCAAAAAATTCTTGTATTTCATTTGTGTTCTGCCTTTTATAGTATTTGCTAATTTATATTCTCATTCGTTAAGATTATGTTTACAGTGATTATAGCATTTATTAATTCATTCTAATTCATTTTTTTGCGTAGAAGGTATAACCTTAGGAAAGCAGATAAGAATTAGTCGAATCAACGACTTAAATTAATCAATGCAAGTTTCAATATCGAATGTTTTATAAAGTTTTGAAATTTATTTTTGAGAAAACGGCGACAAAGGGTCAAATCTTAAATTGAGTTAATCACATACACGCGCTGACCTACATTCTTTATCCAATTTTGGTGTAAAACTATAAAATTAGCATTTCTTGAAAAATTAATCAACACGTTTCCCAACGGACTTTTTTTTTGAATTTTTGAATTTTTGAATTTCCAAATAAAACAAACTTTTGGCAGAATTTCAACCATTGTATCAAAAAGTTTTTAAAATCGGGGTTTTTAAGAAAACGCCAACAAGAACTCAAATTTTGGCTCACATAGACTCATCATATACGCATATGCGATACTTACCTTTTCAAATTCTGGTGTCAAAATATTTAGAATGACTTGAAACGCCAAGAAATCATAAAAGAAACATTTTACTAATCAACACGATTCCCAACTGATATGTCTTGAATTTTCAAAATTGGTTTCTCATTTTTTGCACATTGTCAAAAAAAACTTCTGGACCGATTACTTCGACGTCAACGAAAAGTCAAAATTTGGCTCACACAAACAAACCATATACAGGCGCTCATATTTTTTCCAATTTTGGTGGAAAACCATTGAAAAATGGCTTCATACGCACAAGTACAAAATGAGTACAAAGAGCGTGTCGATTGCCGTTGTCAGGGGGCATCCATTAATCACGTGAGCGAGTTTTTAAGGATTTTTGCCCCCCACCCCTCTCTCTTGGTGATACTTGGCGATATTCAAAATTACCGCCCTCCCCCACCAAAACATCACGTGTATTTTAAGTTACGTGATAAAACTGTAAAATTTTTGAATTTTTTTTGAAAATGTTTGATTTCTTTTAAACAAATTAGTTAAAAAATAAATACACGTGATATCTTACTATACCCCTTCTTCCCCCCTGATATTTTGTGATTTTTTGTCAAAACCCCCTCTCCCGAAAAACCTCACGTGAATAATGGCCGCCCCTTCAGCAGCGAGTTGATGCTGTCATAGACAATATAATAATGCATGGATGCAATAAAATACATGGAAAGATACAGGTGTGCGCATTTGTAATATTCTAACCTAAATTGCGCGTGCAACCGTCTCGGTAATTAATTCTACATCGTTATACTTTTTGAATCGCCGTCGTCATTTATTGTTATAACTACCGATATAAAATGAATAGTGAATTATTTCAAGTTCATGATGTTTATTATGGTCAGTATCATAGATAAGTAAAGAGTATAATATAATTCTGAAATAAAGCTTTACATCAATGCGTAGGAACGCAATGTAGTAATGGGTAATGTAAAAAAAAAGAAAAGTGTAACATAATATACAATTAGCTTGTAATAAAATTGTCTTCAGTTCTATAACCAACCGTTTGACATACGAGTATGTTTTATATTATGTTACAAAAGGGTTACAATTATAAATACCATGGATAGCTTCAAGTGGTGTGATAAGTGTTTTTCACCAGCTTGTATTTGCAATGAAACCAAATCTATTGTTAATCCTGGAATTAGTGAAAACAATTTTATTGAAAATCACATCGAGGTTGTGGATCATGCAGCAACCTACGATCAGGAAACTGAAGACGATATTCAAGCAAGTTCCACAGATATAATAAATATCACTGAAATACATGAATGCAATTTTTGCTTTAAAACTTTTGTATCTGCAGATTATATGAATCACATGAAGAATCATTTACAAATTAATACATCAACTTGCGATTTATGTGGATTGAATTTTGATAATAAATCAGACTATGATTATCACTTATGTTTCAATTATACAATTGAAGATAAAAATGAAGAAACTAGTCAAAATACATTAAATATAGAACCATTAGATGACATTATAGAGCTTGACAACATATTTATTTCAGATGACAATTCATCGAAGCCACAGAAAGTTGAAAACCATATTTTGCCAGATAACTTTTTTCAATATGAATGTTTCTTATGTAACCAATTATTTTATATACTGGAGCAGTATTTGTGCCATATGAGCAGACATAACAATATCAGTCCTAACGCAGAAAAAAATTCTTCCGATGGACAAAAATTAGAATGTGAAAACAACATACCAGAAGTTTCTTTAATAAATGATCATTCTCTTAAATTAACTTACTACACATCCAATAAAAAGTCGTATGAAATTACATTGGACATTGATATAAACATAAATTCTGATAAAGACTTATGGAACATTATTTCAGTAAATAATAATAAATTAGCTTGTAAAATATGTAAGAATAGTTTTTCTGATATGAATGATTTAAAGCAGCATATCACTAGTCATTATGATATATATCAGTATAAATGTAAAAAGTGTGATATGCTATTTAAGAGAGTCCGTGATTTTAAAAGACATATGTCAAATCATAAAAGACAAAAATTTAATGATGAAAATTTTAGGGATTTAGTTACTGAAGAAACCAATATGCCAATGAACGATGATCATTCAAGCTATGAATGTGACCTTTGTGAAAAGTCTTTCATTAATATTGATGATCTTCAGCTTCATATACATGAACACACAAGGGAACCTATAAAATGTGATATCTGTGAAGATATAATTGAGAATAGTTCTGAATATAAAATACACATGAAAAAACATGTAAATGACGAAACTTTAAATTGTGAAATTTGTGGTAAAAATTTTTCAACCATTCAAATGTTCAACCAACATAAAGAAGAGCATTTGGCGAAAACTGATATTCAGTGCACAATTTGTAAGAAAAAGTTTAGTGCTATTAATAATCTCAAAATTCACATGGGAGTTCATTCTTCATCTAGACCATATTTATGCTATATTTGTGGAAAAACATTCAGTCAACTCAGCAACCACGACATACATATGAGGATGCACTCTGGTGAAAGGCCTTTTGTATGTAATATATGTGGAAAATCTTTTAGTCAGAGTGGTCATCATAAAACTCACATGAGAACACATAATGGTCTCAAGCCATTTCGGTGTACTTGTTCAAAGTCTTTCAGTGATTATGGAAATTATATTAAGCATGCGAGATTGCATTCGGGGAAACTGCCATTTAATTGTACAGTATGTGATAAAGGTTTTACTCGCAAAAAAAAATTAGAAATACATATGCTGATGCATATGGATGTATTATGAATGATTGACATATTTATATATGTGAATATGTGTGTGTTAGATTTATATGTTTATGCATGTAGCATATTTTTGTAATATTATGTTATGTTGAACAAAAATAGAGATTATGAGTATATATCTATATTACTTTGTGAAATAAAATTATATAATTAACTATTAAGGAATTTTTTATTATTCATATTTGTCATACTACTTTTACAATTATATCCTAAACTCGTAGACTTCGTGGACCCTTGCGCGTCGTGACTATTATATACTCGACTGGCAGACCCTAGACTTTGTAGACTCGTAGACTCTTGAGCGTCGTGACTATTATGTACTCGACTGGCAGACCCTTGCAACCGTCAGAATGGGCTGGCTTTTTACATATGCTTTCTGAACAGTTAAAAGAATACACCCTCAAAATTTGAGCCTTGTGGGAGCAAGTTATATTTTTTTTTTTTTTTTTTTGACATTTTCACAAATTGAAAGGATGATGACGCAATCGCGGAATGACAGAATAGTGCTTTCTTAATGGGTCGATAATAAAATATTAAAAAAAATTCTAGCTCTGAGAAAACAGGTTAGTCAAATAGTTCACTGGCTCCTCTACTACTACTACTAGAGTAGTAGCATAGTTTACAACTTTCCATGTAGATTTACTTAAGTAGACCTTTTGCAATCATCGATTTATTTTTCCACCGGTCGAACGCACTGGACCACGAGAGGACACCAGGAACAACAAGAAGTAGCATGTGTTTATGTATAATGATACAAATATATCTTGGTTGTTAATATACGTTTGTAAAATGTAAAAGTAAATATACATATGTTACAATTGTAACAATTTGAACTGTAACATTGTAGACTGTAAATTGTTACATTGTAGAATTGGAAATCGCAACTTACAATGATGTCCGAGCACCAACTATTACAATCTACTTTTCTCTGCTAAAAAGTATTTAATTATTCAATAATTCAATTGATTAATTGCTATAGTTTTTAGTGAATTTTATAAATCTGATTAGTTGCTTTAACAGCTTTAAATTATACCATTACGATATCACGGAAATTTTATACTATTGGAACTATATTATTGGAGAAAAATTCAAATTTACAATGGTAATTTAAAGTTATAAGTTAATTAGTTTATCAGTTTATTAGTAATATTTTTGAAATTGTCTTCAATTCAACTTTATTATAATGTTACAATTAATCTTGCCTTAAAATGACCATATTATCTTAAATAAAATATCAAAAAAATTAAAAAAAGGAGATATTTCATTGGATATAAATTCTTTAAATCAGTGCTTTCCAACCTTTTTTGCACCACGCCCCCATCTCTAAAAAAATGTTGCGCTTTCCTTAATTTTTAATTTTATAATTTTATTTATAATTTTATAAATACTCGACTGATGATATTATCAGACTACAAATTAATATGCAATATTATGTAACAATATGCATAAACCTTATTTTTTGTTTATTTTTTAAATTCATTTCATAAATTTTTTGTTATTTTCGAAAATATTATTCTGGAAACAGAATAATGATGGAAACTGCCCCCCTTAGAACAGCTTGGCCCTCTGAGGGGGTGCGCCACACATGTTGGAAACCGCTGCTTTAAATGCATAAAGACCAGCATATAAGAAATAATATTGTTTTGATCGGTGCAATAAACACATCCGAAATAAAAAAAATATTACCCTAAATCTAAAAAATAAATATATATAAATATATAAAATAAAATATTATCCTAAATACTCTGTGAAATATTCACGTTTTTTGTATTTTCACATAGGTTTTGTATTTTCATATACAGGCTTAACAAATATATATTAACTTCCCGAAAGAAAAGTTTGCAGAAAATCCGATTTGCTAACTTTATATTTTTTCGACGTTTTAAGTCATTCTTAATTAAATAAGACTGAATTTGAAAAAAATATATGTGAGTTGATTACTGCTCTTTCGTCGACGTTTTCTCAAAAACCAGTGGATAAATTTCAAAAATTTAAAAGCCATTTTATACAACTCAATCAGTTTTACGCGAATCGCCGAAGCCATTAATTATAGCTATGTAATTATAACAAAAAATAAGGGAAAAAATCTTGAATCTATTTTAAAAATTTAAAAACTGTTTGGAAGATATTAGTTGGGATGTTGTGACCCGCGTTAATTACTTTTTGTTAAAATTTAACTGACCCGTTTTTTCCTAATAATTTGATTATGACTATAAGTAATAAATATCGTAGTCTGTAATAACATTTTAAAATATTACAGACTTACTATAATCGATTGGATTATATAAATATTCTTCATATTGACTACAGTTGACGCCCGCATTGAAATGAATTCGCATTTTTTAAGCACAAATTAGGTGTGTTAAGTCAATTAATTTAGTTTATACGATTGCAGATATTATAAGTATTGTTGAAAGACATAAATTAAAAATTTTACTGATTATATTTTTATTCAAATCTAAAATTTTATTTTCGAAATAATTTTACCTAAATACCTGAATCTTAACCCTTCTCATTCAGATGCCACCACTCTGGCAATAAAAAAAATAAAAAAATGTATTAATTCTGCAATTCCCGAGTGGAAAGGATTAATTCTTATTGAATAAGTTGATTAAGTATCGTATATGTAACGGAAAGTTCTTGCAACTTGCCTTAAGGCAAATTGCTACTTACAACTAGTTATATACAGACTGTTGTTAACAAATAATTATTTTTACAACTATTCAATAGAGTATTCCATAATTCCATCTTAGACACTTATGTAATTTATAGGATAAAAAATTAGCAAACCTATACATACCTTGATTTTCCAAGACAAAGCCCAGCCGTTAAAATCCACTTATTTGACACTATAGAGCCATCGCAAATATGTATCCAATATACCGAATTGATATCACCGAATAGGGGAATCTTCACTAACATTTGTATAGAAACCTAAAAAAATCATTTATCTTTTTTATCAAAGAAAAAGTCATTAGAAAAAATTAAAGTCTTTAATTTAGTTCCCGTTTCTACTAGAATAAAAGAATTTGCGTTGGTGTTCAGGGTTGAATTAAAATTTTTGCCTCCGAGAGCAGTGAAGAAAATGCCGTCCTATCACTGAAATTTTGCTGCCATATCCTTGATTGATCAATTGAAGTCAAAAAGACATGAATAATTTTAAAATATTTTTGATTTTTCAGAAAAAACTACATAAATTTATCAATTCCCTAAAATTAAAGAATCAATAATAACTAATTAATATTTTTTAAATCTTTATAGGAATATTTTAATTAAATTATTTCAATACATAGTGCATAAATTATCTTTTTATAAATGAAAAATGTTATTAAGAATTAGTTAATTATATTGTATAGAATCTTTTTTCACTTTCCAAATTTTGTCGCCCTGGGCACTAGCCCCGACTATTTAATTACATAATTTGTTACGTTTGGTCTAATTTTACACCCTTGCAATGGAATAATAAATATATTTAAATAGTCGGGGCTAGTGCATTTATAAACCATAATATTTTAAAAATAAAAAAACGACGTAGATTTTTTAAAAAAAAGTCGAGCAATTTTTATTTAAAACTAATTAGATTAATTATTATGAATCAAAGAAAATATTTAACGATAACGAAGTAATCGTTTTATCAGCATTGAAATATCTTTATTTAGAATTTTTTGAATAATTACCTAATTATGTTTTTGATAATTCTAGGAATTAAATCTCTGCCTGTTAATTACATGAAACGGTTTGGCTAGTCCAATAAGTGAATAAGTGTGTTTTCTAAAAATGTTTTAAAAAAACAAAAATTAAATATCAGTTCACAAATAAGTTTGTTTAAAGAAATTACTCGATTGGTAGAAACTTTCAAAACATTGATTCAAAAGATTGATTTTGTTCAATCAGAAATTAACAAAAATTTAATTTTTGTATTTTGTATTTTTTGTTTTTAATTACTTGTGAAAGCGCTTGGCAGATTTTTACCTAAACTATAACAATGTGATTTCCAACTGATACGTTTCAAAGAAGTCATAAATTCTTTAAATTAGATTAGGTTTTTTTTAAATAATGTCTAAAAGTAATTTAGAGCATTGACTGGACCAATCATGAAATACTAATCGCAATTCGAATAATCAAGTTTTGACAAAAGGCAAAATTTAACATTACACACATGCACTTGCACAATTATTTAGATTTTATACCAACCATTTAGAATAGCCCAAAACATCTAATTAATTAAAACTTCTTGATCGAATAACGAATATATACTATCAGCGGAAAATATAGCTTTTTGAGCTATTCTAAATGATGATTGGTATAAAATCTAAAATAATTGTGTAAACTATTTTTATATTGAATAAATTTCATTATAACATCCTTAATAATTAAACAGTGGTTGACGATCACAAAAATAGCACTTTACTAATTTTTTTATCAATTAAACAGAAACTTATTAAATATTTATTAGTTTCTTACCACGTAAGGAAATTCAGATGTTTTTTCTGATTTCGTATGTATCCATAAGAATAAAAATAAATAAAGCATTACATATATCTTCATGATTTACTTTATAATATTTTTCATAAGAACGATATATCCAATATCTAACTTTCTATTTATTTACTTAAAAACAATCTACATCAGTTCAGATGTGATTCTCATTTGTTTTGTATTTTATAGAAATAATTCATATAAATGATATGAATATGAACTATGTGTTGTTTTATATATATATATATATATATATATATATATATATATATATAAACAACACATAGTTTAAAAGAATAATGCATATTCTGACTGATTTTAAATAAATACATACTGAAAAAATATATCATACAATATTGTTTTTTTGGTCCTAAAAGTGTGTACTAATATTCCAAACATTCATGAAATTTTATAATTCAACCATTTTTCGTAGGACTATACTATTTTAGGATTTGTTTGGACTAGAATTTCCTAAAGTGATCCCTAGTAGATCAGAACACACCATGTTAATTTCTATATTTA